GGGGATGTACTAAGGATAGAGGATGTAGGTGTATACTTTTTGTCCTATGTGTTTACCCCTCGTGGTAGGCTATTAAGATCGGTAAAAAAAAGTTTTTAATTTCACTCAAAATGAGTTATTTGGGTCATAAATGACCTAAATACAAAATATTTTCATGGTGTCTGTCTGTCTGTCTGTAACACGATAACTCGAAAACCGCTAAACCAATTTTAACCAAATTTGACACAAAAATACTGTGGCATCCGAGAATCTGGCCATTAGTTTTTGGTGGTTGGTAAGGGGGTATGGGAGGTTAAAAATTTTAAAAAATTGTAACTCCAAAATTACAGTAGCTAGCGAAACGCGGTTTTCAATTTAAGATTAGGAATAATATTTGCAACAAAATTTGTAATAACATCAAAATCAGCCAAAGTCGCAGTTTTTGAGATAAAAAAAATTGGAAAAATTCCTTTACTTTGAAGCTAAAAGAACTGCCTACCAGCTTTTTAACATATTTTAGTATGGGCGGCTATACGTGCCTCCCGGCGCTAATTTTTTAACTTATGGTATGTTGGCATTTGTGACCTCACTGGTTTTGCATTGTTACCTGTTGAGTTTCAATTTAAAATTAGATGCAGTTTATTTCTAAATTAGACAAAATCGGCTTATTCAACACCGTTCAAATTTGGCATGTATATTCAGCATACGCAGACCTTTAAAAAACGTATTTACGACTTCGCTGTAAAATCAAGAGGGGGCCAATATTTGGACAGTTTAAAATTTGCAAGGGATTTCCTGTTTCCAACACCTATGCACTACCCGGTATATTGTATATACAGGGTCGCTGTTATGTATGGAAACGGTCGATTATTAGGTCAAGTATAAAAGGTACCGCAAAAAGTTAAATACAAAAATTATAGGGTTTTTAAATGTCTATTGGCGAGTAATAAATTTATGTATACAGGATCGGCCATAAAGTCGTGGCACATCAAAATTTCATTTTTTTTAAATAGAACCCCCTGTATATTTATATTTTAATTCTTCTTTCAATTCCAAGCAAAAATCGAAATACACACAATGTACCTCAAACCAACCGTTTCCGAGTTATTGACTTTTGAACATATCACTTAAACAATTTGATTTAATTAATTTCGATATGTTCAGTTTCATTTAATGATACCATTCTGCCGAAATTGTGATCTTGCTGTAATGGGTTTTTAAATGCCTATTAGCTATTAGGACATTTAAGTATACAGGGTCGGTCATACAGTTGTGGCGCATCAAATTTATTTTTTTTAAAACTCCCTGTATATTATTGCATATTTCAATTCTTCCTTCAATTTTAAGCAATAATCGCAACACACAATGTACATAAATTGAAGAATTGAAATGTTAAACGAAAATTTTGTAATTTCCCGACTTGGTATAATCTCATTTTACACATCTATAAATGCTTACTTGAGAACTAATGTCAAATATTATTAAGTATCACAGTTTCAACAGAATGCCATCGTTAAATAAAACTGAATTTATCGAAATTAATTAAATAAAATTGTTTAATTGATATTTTCAGAAGTCAATAACTCGGAAACGGTTAGTTTGAGGTACATTGTGTGTATTTCGATTTTTGCTTTGAACTGAAGCACAGAATATCTAGCTACGCAACAGAAAAATACTCGAAATGAAAGAGCTAAAATTGCACAAATAGAATACTAGATGGCGCGACAATATCATAATCAGAATATAATTAGAAATGTTGAACTTTCGGTTTTGGATCGACGGCTCGTCGACGGCCTTATAGCTCGGCTAAATATGCACAGTTGCCAGATTCAAAAAGACTTGAATTGGCATCCCATTCATTTTATTGTGTATAATGTAGTATGTGTTTCTTTCTATTCTTCTTTTCTTGTCAGATACACTTATATTAATTATTCCTTTGGCTATTAAAATAGTTTTAAGTATATTATTACAAACATATACATTTTTAATATACACTATACCTTATAATGTTAACTAAGAAAATACCTTTAATTACTTTTAAAATTAATAATATACAGGGCGATTGATAGTGATATTCATTAATGCTGGAACGTTAGTAATGAAATATAAGTTTAATAATAATGGAAATAATTTATTAAAATGCAGTACAAAAAATGTTAACTGACTAAAATTTACTATAATAACAAATTTCTTCCGTTTGCCACGTTATTTATATAGACCTAGGTAGATTTTAAAAAGTGACACAGGTACAATTAATAATATATTAGTTCGGCATAAAAGTTGCTGTCACGACATCGAACAATAAATTAAAATTCGTAAAATAAATTAAAATTATTAATTAAACAAATCTTTATAAAGAAACGCAAGTATACCAAATTTGGGCCCAATCGAACTCCAGGAAATGATATCATAATAGTGTACTATATTATGGTACCACTCGATATACTTTAAGGTACCATAATATTGCAATGTCACCGAAGATCCGTAGTATACCAAATTTAAGAACAATCGAACGCCATGAAATGGTATCGTAATATGGTACTATATTAAGGTACCACTTTATATACATCATAGTTCAATCATATTACAATGTAACCGAAGATACGTAGTATACCAAGTTTGAGCCCAATCGAACGCCAGGAAATGGTATCGTAATATGGTACTATATTAAGGTACCACTTTATATGCATCATAGTACCATCATATTACAATGTCACCGAAAATACGTAGTATCCCAAGTTTAAGCCCAATCGAACGCCATGTACGTAATATAGTACTATATTATGATACCAGTTGATATGCTTCATGGTACCATAATAATGCAATGTCATCAAAAATACGCAAGTATATATCAAATATGAGCTCAATCGAACGCCAGGAAATGGTATTGAAATATGGTACTATATTAAGGTACCACTTTATATGCATCATAGTACCATCATATTACAATGTAACCGAAGATACGTAGTATAACAAGTTTAAGTCCAATCGAACGCCAGGAAATGGTATCGTAATATGGTACCTCTTATTATGCTCCATGGTACCATAATATTACAATATCACCGAAGATACTTAGTATCCCAAATTTAAGCCCAATCGAACGCCATGTACATAATATGGTACTATATTATGGTACCAGATGATATGCATCATAGTACCATCATATTACAATGTCACCGAAAATACGTAGTATACCAAGTTTAAGCCCTATTGCCGCCATGTACCTAATATTGCTATGTCATCAAATATGGTACTATAGAAGGTACCACTTTATATGCTCCATGGTACCATGATATTACAATGTCACTGAAGATATAGTATACCAAGTTTAAGCCCAATCGAACGCCATGTATCGTAATATAGTACTATATTATGGTATCACTTGATATGCTTCTGAAAAAAAACGGCGTCCAGTTGGCTGGAAAAGGACGATCGATGACATATCATCCCATATAAATTTACATATAAAATGACGGTGACATTAATTTCATAGCTATCGCTAACGCCGTTTTTTTCCCGATTATACAATATGAACTTGGTATGAACACAATCGAACATCAGGAAGTGGTATCATAATAGTAGAACAATACTTATTATATTGTCGCCGAATTACAATGAAAATTCAGGATTCAATTATACAATCAAACGTCAGGAAGTGATTGTAATTTAGCTCATAAGATTTAATTCCAACTAACATGGCAAACTGAAAAAAACAGCTCTGATCTATTTTAATATGTTTAAATCATGTAGCAAATTTGAAGGTAGGCTTTATCAGGAAGTATTACGATATGAATTATACACATTGGCAACACTGCACAAAATTCTTTTAAATTTTGTTTGTAGAAAACTGTTTTCTTTTAAATTTATTGCCCTCTATTATGTAATAGCGAAACTAGCACATCAAAATATCTGATTTGGAGACAGACTTTTAAAGCCTGTCTCCTTTTGCTACCTACAATTTTATACATGTAACGAGGCTTCTGTTGCGTAGCTAGATATTCTGTGACTGAAGGAAGAATTGAAATATACATTATTAAAAAAGTTATAGTAAACATTAAATAAGAAATAGACCTTTGTTTGATGAATTTAGAGTCTGTCCAAAGAATAAGGGAATAATTCGACAGATGTTATCTAAGAAATGACAGAAAATACAATTTATCTATGAATTAAAGTTACTGTTACAACTGCCACTGTCATGTAGTCAATAACTCGGAAACGGCTGGTTTGAGGTACATTGTGTGTATTTCGATTTTTGCTTAGAATTGAAATATACATTATTAAAAAAGTTATAGTAAACATTAAATAAGAAATAGACATTTGTTTAATGAATTAATTTTAGTCTGTCCAAAGAATAAGGGAAGAATTCGACAGATGTCATCTAAGAAATGACAGAAAATACAATTTATCTATGAATTAAAATTACTGATACAACTGCCACTGTCATGTATCCTCTCATTGGACAGACTATTAATAGTTTCAAGGCAATGTGCAAAATATTGACATATTAAAGAAAAAATTGTTTAAAGCTGCAGTGATGAAATATATATTGTTTAATTCAGAAATAACCACAAAAATACTTGTAAGTATACAATATGATTAAAAAGTTTGATTGAGGTGTGACACATTAAAATAATTTTTATATGTATAGAAATTACGTTCTCTTTTGAACTATCTAAGCCTGTTTGTTCATAAATAAATCTTTTTGATTGCACAGTATTTTAAAATTAAAAATATTTGAAAAAATATCAACAACCTGTCCCCAGAAGCAAACTATGTTGAGTCACAAAACACAGTTTCGAGAAAAATCATTTAAAGTTCATTTCTGAAGTTATTTCCTAATTATTCAGTTATTTTTAATTTTATGACTATGATTGTAATATTTGGTATATGAATAACTTATTTTGAACTTAAATAAAATGTAAAACAGTTTTTAAATAAGTTATACCAAACATGACTTATATATTTGAAATATGGCAATTTTGGACTTAACATAGTTTGCTTCTAGGGTACAGACATATCTCTATTAATTCAAGAATTTATTCTCATTTTTCCATTGCGCTCTTCATATAAAACTAGTTAATCACCTACATTTGACAATTTTCAACATTATTTATGTAAATAATGGTAAGTTATGGAAATGGTAACCTCTCTTACCCTTAGCTGCAAGATAAATATAGACTACATGGTAAGCCCCTGGTATGAAGCAAATAAATCCTAAAATAATGCTGCAATTAAAAAAAGTATTAAGTCATATAATAATTTTAAGACCTGCAAGAAGAAAGACGGAGGCCTGTAAACCTGAATTTGGTTCACTTAATGTGAATGTACCAGTGACTAAAAGTCCTGCTCCAATAATCAGTAATGTTGCTGCTGCTAAGACCATTCTCCAGTTTTCTTTTACTTTTGGATGTTTAAAGCATGATTTATGGAAATTTTCCCGACTTGAACAATCATAATAATCTTGAATGAGAGAGTCGCTATCTCTCGATGCATCAGTTACAGTCTTATACCCTCTATAATTAAATAATAATAATCTAAATAAATACAGTACTATAAAAAATTATCAACATCTAGAGTTTAATTTTGAAATCTGAGCAGCACTAATGCATTTTTTATAGTCTCTAAGTTGTTCATACCCTGTGTTATTTAAAGCTATGTTTAATGAATCCCCTTGACCCAATTTTTCCTCTGAGGTAGGAGTTGTTATTCCATAAACTTTTATAGCTTCGTCAGTCTCTTCTTCGAATGCATCATCTATAGAAAATCTTTTTGGTTTATCATTTTGTCTTGAAAACTGAGATGACATATTCGAGAATGTATCAATACCCAACAAAAATATTAGTACTTCAAGCCATTTTGATTAAAGTGAAAAACAAAAGTTAACAATGTTTTATAAAATTTAATTATAAATAAATTTAATATTTAAAGATGTTTATCAACAAGATCATAGAACAAGATGTCAAACTAGGATCTGTCAAATTTGTGTCTTTCATAAACTTTTTCTGTGGCCTTAATTAGTCATGTGTTTCATATTAGGGACAAATAAACTATTTCATTGAGTATATGAGAATACAAAATAGAAAATACTTTTAAATTTGTATTTAAAATGCAAAATATTACCGAAAATAGGTATTTTAAATAAGCGATTGAAAAATGAAAATACTTTTTTTCCTGTTTTTAATGACATATACATTAAATATATACCTGCGTGCTGGCTGTAAAATGACCTTAAAGAAAATACAGGAAAAGTGTAAGTAAATAAATATTTCTATTCACTACAAAAGTTTTTAGATGTCGCATAAATAAGAAGATTATTTTCTTTTATCTATGCATAAATAGAAGTTAAATGACATGCTATAAAAAATATCTACAGAAACAGAAATAATAAACAGGACTGTATATTATCAAATAATGTATATTTATTAATGTCCACCTTATGGACTATTTCGTGAAATGAACCCGGTAATTACCATGAACCCTTTTTGTGAAACAATACAATCAAAAAATAAGCATATTTATTGAACATATTGAATATTTATAATTTAAATTTCCCACCCTTTAACACAGGAAGACAATAGAAGAGGACCAATGATAAATGACGTAGAAAATCGTTTTCTCATTGGTTAGGTTAAAAACAGATGCGTCAAAGCGTCAAATCAATCAACTAACCGTTATTGAGAAAAGTTTAGCGTATGTTTATTTAATTGTGGTGCTGAAAGTTATATTTAAAAAGTGATTGTTATTTAAAAGTTAAGTATAAACGTACAAGTATCAAAAGGGATACCTGATATAACAACAATGTCTAGTTCTAATAATACCCAGGCGGAATTTAGAGATATAGAAGTTGAGGATTTCAATTCATCAGGTTGTGGAGATATGTCTTTTGAGTTATCAGGCGACGTAAGTCCTCCTAGTCCACATACTACAAGGAAAATAGGTTTTTCACAATGTGATAATAACAACGAAACACCAGCTCCCCAAAAAATCAGCTTTAGTCCACCTTACAAAAGAGTCCGGGCATTGAGACTGTTTGACAGCCCCCTTACTCCAAAAACCATTATACAAAAATCATCAAATTGTACTACTCCACTGCCTAGAAGCCGATTATTTGGTGATAAGCCAAAACCTGTACCAAGTGCTTATGCAGAAAAAGATAAACCAGCTGCAAATGTAAATCCTTTTACACCCAATGGTAAGCAATAAAAGCAGTAGGAAAAATATGAATAAGCCAATATCATATTTGACAAGACAAATACACTATTGGTGATTGCAAAAAATGAATATGCCTTTGCATATACAATACAATAGAGTACGTAGAGTGACTACGTATTATGTACCATCGGTCTACATACTCTATAGTATTCTAAAAGTCTATAAGAACAAACTTCAGTTGCCCACGGTATATCTTCAAATGTTTATTTTATAGCATATTAAAAAACATTTATTTTTAAATGTTTTAATATAATGGAAATATATTGTAAGTTCAAATGGCCAAGATTTTACTATTACCTTATAATCACACATATAAAAGCTATGAGAATAAGATTATTATATTACTTTAATCTCAGTGGTATCCTGAGTAATGAATTCCTGAATTTTTAAATGTCCATTTCTTTTGTGCATAAAGTCCAATTTGCTATGGTTTCTTTAGAACGCTATAAATGATCAAATATGATCTGCAATATAATTTCAACAGGTTAACTGATTTTTGTACATTTTTGATCAACTTTATTGTATTAACTTTTTTCCTATAGTAGCAAGTTTTATAAATATCCATGTATTGAATTCTAACTTATAAATACAATATGATTGAAAAAAAAATGGCATCAGCGATGGCTATGAATTGAAAATATCTGTTATTTTATATGTAAAATTATATATCATATAATATGATAACTAAATAAAATTCTTTGGAATAAAATAATAATATACTCTGGAATATTAATAGTTTAATTTTGATAACAAAACCTGTATGTTAATGTTTTTTTTGTAGTACTATATTTATTTAGAGTATTACTATTTACAGACTATTTATAGTAGAGCACAAATATGATCAAAAAGTCAATAGATCATAGTTAAACAATAATTCTTATGGGATATAACATGACTGTCTTGTGCACATAAAACTTTTTGATCATATATGGTATAAAAATATTGTATTTATGAAGTATAATTGATGTACACTTTAATATAATATATTATATTTGATTTTATTAGGAATGTTATTGTCAAAAAAACGTCCAAGATCTGTCAGATCAGATTCACCAAAAATAAAACCTCCCAATTTTGATTTAAACGACTCTGATGCATCAGATCAGGATATTGAACAGCCAACTAAAAGAGTCGCCTTACAGGTATATAAATCTATAATAACAATTTCACTCATAAGTATAATTTCATTTCTTTTGGTAGGAGAGTAATATTCCTCGCTATCATAGAGAATTTCTTGAACTCGAGTTAATAGGTAAAGGTCAATTCGGATCAGTTTTTAAATGTGTAAATAGATTAGACGGTTGTGTATATGCTATAAAGAAATCTACGAGGCCTGTTGCTGGTAGTGCTTTTGAGAAAACTGCTCTAAATGAAGTTTATGCTCATGCAGTATTAGGTAAGTTCAAAGTGTGATTTTCCTGTATTATATTACAATGGTTCTTTTCATTTTAAGGTAAACATCAGCATGTTGTTCGTTACTATTCAGCATGGGCGGAAGATAATCACATGATTATTCAAAATGAGTATTGCAATGGAGGCTCTTTAGCTGATAAAGTTTCCAAGGAGCCTTTAAGTGCGGTAGAGTTAAGGAGGATGCTTCTTCATGTTGCTGAAGGTCTCCGATATATTCATTCTGAAGGATTGGTTCATTTAGATATTAAACCTGCAAACATATTTATATCGATTGAAAAAAAGGTATTTTATATATTTTCTTGAAGATTGTTTTTCATTAATGTAAGTGTAATTTCTAGGTTAATTTAACGAATTATGATTCTGCCGATGATGGATTCGAAGACCTGGATGACAATTCAATTTATGAAGAGGAACTGACATATAAAATTGGAGATTTAGGTCATGTAACAAGTTTATCCAATCCACAAGTAAGCTTTGTTACATAATTTAGCTTTCTTTTTTGTATTATTAATTAATATTTAATGTTTGTTTTATAAATAGGTTGAGGAAGGAGATTGCCGTTATCTTTCTAATGAAATTTTACATGAAGATTATAGCCATCTTACGAAAGCAGATGTTTTTGCTCTTGGTTTAAGTGCGCTAGAATGTGCAGGTGCGGGACCTTTACCTAAGAACGGGCCTGAATGGCATGCCATTAGGGAAGGTCAAATACCTCCTTTACCTCAAAAACTGACTAAAGACCTTTTGGAATTAATAAGGTAAGAGATAATAATAAAATCTATATTTTTTTATATTTATATACTAGAGTGCACATCTTTTAATTACCGTGAAAATATCGTTCACGAAAATGAAGAAAAAATCCTGGTAAAGTTTGAGAGATCTTAATATTAATATTAAAAGGTGTTTCATTGTGATTTTCTATTTCCCATTTAAATAACACAGGAAATTTTTTTTTTGATACTTTATTGTGTTCTAACAAATCAGTGTAATAATGGTATGGTACAAAAGTCACCACACGTATAAAATCGACGTGCAGCTCAATGAAGCTATGAGAGTTGCAACTGGAACATTAAGATCAACCTCAACAGTATGGCTCCCGATCCTGGCGAATATTGCCCCCCCTCAAATTCGCAGAACAGTTATGGCACAAAAGGAGTGGATGAAGGCTTCCACCCAAGACGGCTTACCTATTCAACGGTCTATCAATCCTCCTCCTTCTAAGCGGCTCAAATCTCGCAACCCAATCTGGATGGACGACGAACTTAAGAGCGAGTACAATATGCACTCCAAATGGAACGAGCTTGTGGCTAGAAGTCTGGGAACACGCAACTTGAACTTAGTTGCCGATGTATCGGGTGCCCTCACGGGTATGGACCTTCCTCGTCATACCTGGAATCGTCTAAATCGTTTTAGGGTGGGTCATGGCAGATGCCGTGATATGCTTCATAAATGGGGAATTGAGGACTCACCAGCGTGCGACTATGGCGCTCCACGACAAACGATGGAACACTTTTTGAACGAATGTCCACCCAGAGCCTTTCCTGGGGGCATCCAGAACTTATTTTGCGCTACTTCTTCGGCAATTGACTGGATAAATGACCTCAATATAAATGTTTAATGTAAATTTTGTCCCTGACTACATATATGTTTTATATATACTTGTAATATTTTTTAAGTCCTTATATTTCTCATGCATGTTTTCTTTTTTCTTTTACAACTATTTGTTTGTTTATATATGCTTATCTCTGTGTATGTTTATAGAATGTATTCACATATCTTGTATTTGTGCTTCTCATACGAAATATATGTATATATAGTGTATTGTAAAAATTAATACATATTCTTTTAGGAAATAGAACGGTCTTCAAAAAAGGTCTGATGTGATTTTTCATTTAATCGACTCGGTTGAAAGTTATTGAAGGTTACAGTTCAACTTTAAATCGTATATGATAACTTCCACAATTTTTTATATTTTATCACGAAATAACGGCGCAAAAACAAAATATTTTTTTTTTGTGTAAGGTTCTTTGGTATAACATTGAAATTGCAATATATAATTATTAATTAACGCTAATACGCTAATTACAATAATTAGGAATCATCCTGAGTCATCTTTGGATAATGTCATACAGGGTGCCTCCATGTTTCCTGAAGTATCTATCAGTGTATTCCCGCTAGAATTGATTTAGAGTATACGTTAGTTTTTAACCCCCAACTGGCGTGGTGAATTTTTGTAACGCTTATTGCGTGCTGGGGTCCGACGGAACCCAATTTTTTTCAGTTAAAAATTCATGATGATGAGATTTTATAAAAAGCTTGTTATTTTAACATTGTTTACAATATATTCAAACTTGTGAACAAATAATTTCATTAATTTTCAACCAATTAATAAGAACGGACACAAAAATAAAGGAAAACACATTTTTTAGGAATTTTTGACGACAGAAATATAACTTTGCTAAGAAACCCATAGAAATTAAGAACATATATATATTTTATGATTTTACCATATTATTAGAAGCACAAACAACTGAAATGTGAAGCTTAAGTAATGGATACAAATTATTTTCAACAAAACTGCAAACCTTGAATGTACATAACTTTTTCAAATATAGTTCATGCTAATATAGGATCTGCATTTGCCGCACATGGATCGTGCACATTTGATTCATGAGATTTTTTTTTGTCATTTCTTCATTGACATATGGTTGCCATATACCACATCTCTTTCTTTTCTGGTATTGATTATTCGGTTTTCTCTCTTCTATAAGTAAGAGATTCATCATTCAATCGGAGTTATGGTTAATCTTCGGAGAAAAATCAATGTCTCGATGATCTTAAGCCTCTGTAAGTTCATCAAATCACTCAATTAATGCTTCCTCAAAATTATCGTCCCAGTGAGGCACACTTTTTTGACTATCCATCATCCTAATAATGAAACATTCTTGGCATGGTGGTGCCACACAGACCCCAATGAAACTTTATCCCCCTCTGGTAGGAACAATACTTGATAAAATCAGGTGCGCCTTTAACAGTTGCATATTGGTACCCTAACTTAAAGGTAAATGGCGCGGCGGGGCCTAATTCTTAATTACCTGCTATTATTACCTTACCTTACTATTATATTATAAGGGAGAATAGCGTATATACTAGTGCATCTAATAGAATGATGTTGATATGGGCCTGAACTTGTTTCCACATCCTCTATAATATCATTTAACAATTTTCTAAAATAATATTTCTATAGTAGTAATTATAGTTTAGTAGTAGTTATATTAATAAATATAGTCAGTTAATGATACAAAGAGTTTGAAATAAGGGGGTATAAATGAGTAAAATTCCGACTTCGGACTTTTTTTTCGGCAGGTTTTTTGAATCATAATACACTCGGAGAAAATTTTGGTCAAATTTAAAGTGTTATATTTTTTATTTTCAGCTCTATTGTAATGATTTTTTGGCAAGCTGTATATAATTATATCACGTTTTATTCGTAAACTCAGTTTTTTATAAACTTCAGTATTTGGCATATTATACAGGGTTAATCGAGGGGTTGCTTTTTACCATAACTTTAAAACACCCTGTGCAATAATTTCGTGTCTAAATTTTTCTAAAATATAATTTTACGGTCAGAACCATGCCTTCTGAGCATTTTATTTTTTGGATCATGTCACTAAATGCCTTGGTCAATTTTTAAGAGCGAAATGAGCTTGCCACCAAGAATTTCGGGGTCAGGGCCACCAATATTCTTGGGGTCAGGGTTCGGAAAACTACATGTTACTTTTAAAAACTACATAAACTACATTACATGTAGTTAATGTAGTTTATGTAGAGGGTGTAGTTTATGTAACCTATGTATGTAAGTTTCAAATATCAAAGGTTTGAGGTGAGGTTATGATAAGTTGAAGCTTTAAAAACACATAATGTATTTAAGAAAACAGAAGAAATATGGCTTTAAATATAATATTTACATCATATTATCTCTATTACACCTCATACTAAGGAAAATTATTCATAATATAAATACATAGTTTATTAACGTAGTTTTTATGTAGTTAATGAACGGGAAAAGACGTAGTTTTTGAAGAAAAACTACACGTAGTTAATCAGGTAAATTACGTCTTGATTAACTACTTCCGAACCCTGTTTGGGGTCCGCTGGACCCCACCACGCCAGTTGAGGGTTAATCCTTTTTACCTGACAAGTAAAACGTAGGGGCAGGGACTAAAGGCAGAAAACTGACGACAGTTCTCAAGACGATCTTCCATTTTAACTGACAGGGAAAACGTTATGTGTAGATGGATCTTCATACTTTATTCTCATCAGTATGACTCGAAAATAAAGAATTTTTTTTAAAATTAGTAATAAATTATTATAAATTAATTACTTAATCATTTTATATGCAGGAGCATGATTCATCCGTGTCCCACAGAAAGGCCAAGCACGATACAGTTATTGCAACACAGAGCTTTAAATCCAGACGGTAGCAAAACGAAAGCTGATTTAACCAGGGAACTTAATGCAGAGAAGATGAGAAATGAAATGTTGCTCAAACAGTTAAAAGTAAGTTTAATTTATATATTTTGGAGTTATCTTTACAACAACACAGGGTTGGCTTGATTTAAATCAAGTGATTTTTTTAAATTTTAATCGTGTGATTTAAATAAAAAAATCAACTTTATTAAAACTTTATAATAAATCAAAATATAACTGCAAAAGTTATATTATTTGTCCTAGAAAACTATGAAAAATATTTCTATAACAGATATATCCTATATCTATTCATCAATTAAAATGTTGGACCGATTTTTGAAGTAATTTCTTGTGAATCCATTAGACCTCGTAAATCCATTAGACCTCTCCGCAGGGATTTATTTTGAAATTTATGTACAACTGACGAAAATCCGCCGTTCGAATATGTTTCGCAAAGTCTAGTGCAGAACTAGGTTCTGATATAGAGATTATATCTTCATTCCCGAGAATCTATGTATATAATCGTTGTCACAGAAAATATATGTTGTTAAATTGTTGTTTCTCCAATTTATCTTCTAGTTCTTTCTAAATTCCTACCGTCATTTCGATCTGCAGTAAGTACTTTACACTTTGACATTAGATATAAGACTATTTCCGAACAATAGTGTATTGGTTTATTAGGAGTAAAAATTATACTTTTTTTGACGAGGCTGTACGTTTGTCGGATCAGCGTAAAGCTATTCCGACGTTACAGGGAGTTACATTTTTACTCCGAATAGAACACACTATATTCAAACATTACAAATCATTTTTTAATCAATTTCAAACGTTGCAAATAATATCAAAAGTGATACCATAGATTATCAACTTATCGCCAAAAGCATTGTTTTTCGTGGTTCCAATTTTCGGAGTCGCGCACTACTTATGGCCTCTAAAATTGTGCACAGCGCCTGACCGGCCCAGTTATTACGCTGTTTAAACGCGAGTTTATTTTTGCGCACAGGAAATTTTACTCGTTTGCTCATCGTCATAAAAAACAATTTTCGTACCATGAATTAGGGACAAGATTTTTATCTGTATACATAAAATATATCTAATCTGTGGTAATACCTTGTATACTTGTTAAATTTGACACTTAATATCAGTTTAATATATTTTTGTACTTTTGTGCTTAGGTGTAAAAGTGCTTTACTTCTATGCCTAAGCGTTAAAATGACAAAAATTAATACTTTGTGAAAAAATTACACGCGCCTAGAATTGTTAATGTTATCGGTATCGGGCAGAGTTATGAAGACTTATTGCCGTTTTCGCAGCACTTATAGCACGAGAGGTAGCAACGTCGGAAAAACAAGTATTTTAAGACGTCTGGCACTTTGATATATCTTTTACTATGCTCTCTAGAACAGCATGCGGCCCGTCTGGCTGCCGGTAAACGTTGCGTTCCCTACTGCGCATTGAAAGAAAATCCTATATTTTTATTATCAACGAAAATAAAATAAAAAAGTCTTTGACCTGACCCGGATTCGAACTCATCGGTTCGTGGTCGGAAACTCTACGCACTGCGCTATGGAGACATGTTCGATTTATATTCAATACTAGAATTTATAGGACTAAATTAATAAAAAAATATAGGATCTTCTTTCGATGCGCAGTAGTGAACGCAACGGGTATCGACAGCCAGACAGGCCGCATGCCGTTCCAGAGAGCATAGTAAAAGATATATCACAGAGCCAGACGTCTTAAAATATTTTCTCGAAAACGTTGCTAGCTCTTAGACTATTATTTCCTGTCCTCCATTCGCGAATTTCGAGTTCCAGAGCTTTACGCCCTGGGCTACTAAGAACGGTTCTGAAAGGAGCTGTGCGCGATAGACTGGTGATATGGCGCGGAACAGTTCTGAACTTTATGACTCAATTGAATGGAGGGAGAGTATCGCGTTCTTGAACAGTTCAGAGCTGCACAACTGCATGAATGGAGGACAGTAATTAAGGTTACTCTAAAAGTCACCAATGAAGTCACATTCAAAGCTACACCTAGCTAACTTAAAGTAACCTTAATAAGTGCTGGGAAAACTGCCATTAACCGTTTAGGACAGGGCTTTAATAAGGGAAATAAGTCCTAATTATTTTGAAACCCGATTTAAATGTTTTCTATTAAAATAAAAAAAATCTGATTTAAATAAAAATCATGATTGCCAACCCTGTTACAACACCACACAAAATAAAATACTTACTACAATTTTTTTACCTTTTAGGAAGCAACAATTTGCATTAAAACTATAGCGAAAGATCCAATGAAAGTTCCCACTTTGACAAAGATGAGTTCCAGACTAATTGGCAAGAAAGTTAATCGTAGTGTGAGCACAACAACTTTTTAAAGTATTAAAATACCATGCTAGGAAAAACTATTTTTATTTCTCTTCATTTTTTTTCATTTTTTTTAAAGACTTAACTTTTCAAGTCGCTTTTTCTACTCTAATTTGATTTATTTTATGACCATAAAACACATTTTTTTATGATAGAATTTTTCTTTTTGGGTTTCTTAGTTTTTTATTATTTTTTTTATTAAAACTGTAAAATAATACTAAAGCAGCTGTTTATAAATACTCTAATATGTAATATTAGTCTTATGCGCTAAACCTAACAACAGTAAAACATTTCAGTTATAAGTTTAAAATTTAAATACTCAGTTTTTTATTGCCAATGTTACTGTTTAACTATATCATAATATACTTTTGTATTTAATATTCAATAACAAACACTGTATTACCATAGATGTCTTTAATCAAGCAATAACATTGCATATTGATATCAACCTTACTCTGTTTGGTTGCTGAAAAATTTAAAGCATATCATATATAATTTAATTTTTTTTTATTTTACACATTATATATTTAATAGGAAACAATCTATTAACAATTACAGATAGGCAAATAAGTACCTATATGTGATTATCAGCAACCAAAATAAAGTGAGGTTAAGATGAAAATTCTATGTTGTGGCCAGCTTAATTATATTTTTTTATAATACAGTATACTAATCGTATTTTATGGTACTAATCTATACTTTGTTCAGGCTTTTTCTTATTATTTTATTAAAAAAACAATGTGATATGAAAGTAATGCTAGGATATTTCTTCAATAATGGCTGTATAACATTTAAATTATTATATTTTTAATAGTTTTCTTTGTTTGTATGTATTTTCTTGTTAAACAGTTAAGAAGTATTAATGATTTGATTAAAGATAGGTTTTATAATGATTTACTAAATTTGTATACGTATCTTTTACTAAATAATAAAGGCATATTTTAATATTAAAACCGATTGTAGTAAGTTAGAAACAACCAAGATTTTGAAATGCTAAAATCTACATTAAAGTTATAATTGTCAGTATTTCCTATAAAATTGCAAGATTTTGTTGTAACACTTATATAAGACAGTGTAACGGTTGGGAGATAAAATAATTTCACCATATACTATTTGTTTAATAATTCGGTATGAATGTGATAATTATTTATAGATGTAAGATTAGGTTATATATTTTTCTTTATTTTTTAGTTATTTGTGACTTTGCTATGTAGCACAATCGATTATACATTCCTTTTCAATACGTTTAAGTGCATATTATCAATAGTTTATCTTAATGTTGTACGTTAACTATTATTTTGCCCATGCCAAATATATTTTAGATTAAAATTTGACGCATTTATTATGCCACATTGTTCATTCCCAAATCAATAAGAATTGCATATTTTTTGCGGTATTACCATAATTTAATTCTGAGATAGCTTTAAATGTGCAGAAAAAAATTAGTTCAAAAATCCACTGACGAAATAAAGTAATGCATTTAGAAAAACAAACACATTTTTGATTTTATTACGGTTATTTACTGGAAATTAAGGAAAAAGTATTGCATTTAGAATTCACTCTTCTTGCATTTACTTTGTTTTATGTAATTTTAGCGAAAATAAATTCGATTTTTTGAAATCTTCATAAAACATAAAACAATCTATACTATAATAATATATAAAATCCTTAAGTGACTGACATATTGATTAATCACGATCCTGCTCAAACCACTCAACGTAAGAAACTCAATTTTGGCATACAGGTTGATTCTAGGGTGTAGAGGTTCGATAAGAAGGGATTTTTCGAAATTCCAGTTCCATGAGGGTGAAACCATCCCTCAAATATTACAATATTTTTTATTTAAAAAACGGCCAAGTTTTCGAAAAAACGCTTAAACACGTATATTTTATGTTGTTTTTTTACATATTTTAAGATTTTTTAAAAATGTATACAGGGTGTTTCGAAAATTCTGGTCATTGATTAATCACGATCCTGCTTAAAGCGCTTGACGTAAAAAGCTGATTTTTGGAAAACAGATTGACTTTAGGGTGTAGAGGTTCGATAAGAAGGGATTTTTCGAAACTCGAATTCTAAGGGGGTGAAATTATCCCTCAAATATTAAAATATTTTTTTATTTAAAAACCGGTTAGTTTTGCGGAAAAACTCTTAAACACGTATATTTTATTATGTTGTTTTACATATTTTAAGATTTTTTAGAAATTTATACAGGGTGTTTCATAAAATATGACCATTGAGTAATCACTATTCTGCTTAAACTGCTTGACGTTTAAAGCTCATTTTTGGCAAACGTATTGACTGTGGGGTGTAGAGGTTCGGTAAGGAGGGGTTTCTCGAATCTCAAATTCCAAGAGGGTGAAAACGCCCCTCAAATATTACAATATTTGTTATTTAAAAAACGGTTAGTCTTTCGGGAAAACGCTTGGACAAGCATAATTTTCTGTTTTTTTTACATATTTTGAATTTTTTAAAAAAATCATACAGGGTGTTCCAAAAAGTTGGGTAATTTCTTAACCACGATTCTGCTTACACTGCTTGACCTAAAAAGCTTATTTTTGGCAAACGGATTTTTCGAAAGTCAAATTCCAACAAGAATAAACTACCCCTCAAATATTACCAAGTTATATAATAATATCGCCATATTGTTTTTTTCTCATGCTGAGATATATGTGAGAAAATTTTATCCAGTTTGTATGTTAATGGAAATTCTTGCTTTGCTTTATTATCATCATTACAAATGATTAATTCGACGCGAACGAAGTCGCTGGTACACGCTAGTTATTGATATTTTTCAAAGTATGTTTATGAACCTTGGTACGTACACAGACGCAGAATCAAATTCTGAACGAATTTTTTATTTGTTTATTCGTGGTGTATAGCGGTGTATAGTAGAGGTGGGCAAAGATTGAACGAGTTGTTCATTTAAACGAGTATTAAAAATGAATCGTGTGATTCGATTCACTGCTTAGAATACGGTTCGTTCAATTGAATCGTGGCCGACACGGATCTATAATATTTGAACGATGAGCCGTAAAAAAGAATCAGAGTTGAATCGGATCAAAATGCGATCGTTCGTTCAAAGAGTCGTGAGAATTCAATTGAATAGTGGCCAGCACGGATCCATAATATTTGAACGATGAGCCGTAAAAAAGAATCGTAAGAATTGAATTGGATCACAATGCGATCGTTCGTTCAGAGTGGTGAGAATTGATTCATTGCTTACAATACGGTTCGTTCAATTGAATCGTGGCCAGCACGGATCTATAAGATTTGAACGATGAGCCGTAAAAAAGAATCGTAAGAATTGAATTGGATCACAATGCGATCGTTCGTTCAGAGTGGTGAGAATTGATTCATTGCTTACAATACGGTTCGTTCAATTGAATCGTGGCCAGCACGGATCTATAAGATTTGAACGATAAGTCGTAAAAAAGAATCGTGAGATTGAATCGGATCACAATGCGATCGTTCGTTCAAAGAGTCGTGAGAATTGATTCATTGCTTACAATACGGTTCGTTCAATTGAATCGTGGCCAGCAGGGATCCATTAGATTTGAAAGATGAGCCGTAAAAAGGAATCGTGAGAATTGAATCGGATCACAATGCGATCGTTCGTTCAAAGAGTCGTGAGAATTGATTCATTGCTTACAATACGGTTCGTTCAATTGAATCGTGGCCAGCACGGATCCACAAGATTTGAACGATGAGCCGTAAAAAAGAATCGTAAGAATTGAATTGGATCACAATGCGATCGTTCGTTCAAAGAGTCGTCAGAATTGATTCATTGCTTACAATACGGTTCGTTCAATTGAATCGTGGCCAGCAGGGATCCATAAGATTTGAACGATGAGCCGTAAAAAAGAATCGTGAGAATTGAATCGGATCACAATGCGATCGTTCGTTCAAAGAGTCGTGAGAATTGATTCATTGCTTACAATACGGTTCGTTCAATTGAATCGTGGCCAGCACGGATCCACAAGATTTGAACGGTGAGCCGTAAAAAAGAATCATAAGAATTGAATTGGATAACAATGCGATCGTTCGTTCAGAGTGGTGAGAATTGATTCATTGCTTACAATACGGTTCGTTCAATTGAATCATGGCCAGCAGGGATCCATAAGATTTGAACGATGAGCCGTAAAAAAGAATCGTGAGAATTGAATCGGATCACAATGCGATCGTTCTTCCAAAGAGTCGTGAGAATTGATTCATTGCTTACAATACGGTTCGTTCAATTGAATCGTGGCCAGCAGGGATCCCTAAGATTTGAACGATGAGCCGTAAAAAAGAATTGTGAGAATTGAATCGCATCACAATGCTGCGATCGTTCGTTCAAAGAGTCGTGAGAATTGATTCATTGCTTACAATACGGTTCGTTCAATTGAATCGTGGCCAGCACGGATCCACAAGATTTGAACGATGAGCCGTAAAAAGGAATCGTGAGAATTGACTAATGACTAAAAGACGAAATCGTGTTTTTATGCAACTCCAAATAAATATTGTTGCTCGTTGGACAGACTATAGAATTTGTTTAAACTATCGAAGTCAAAGCCCGCTTCGGAGGGTATATTTTACGAAATCATCGCAAATTAAATTCTTTCAAACAACATTTTTATTCTCTTATATATCTTTGTTATATATATATTTAATGATAACTAATGATTTTTATAACAGAAATGCTTTCTAGTTTTTTTTGTAAACATATACATAATACGTATACTGTTAAAAATAAAATATACTATTTAAAATAAAACATCACAGTGTATAGCTTTCAAACTTGAATATTATGTTGCCGTAATGTATCCAAAATTTTACGACTAACGTTTTTAATTTCAAAATGGGATTCGCCAAAACTTAAGAGGTCATTTAACAATACATGACCTCGTTCTTCAAACATCATTTGGCAGTATCGCTTTGCTAAAAATTGGATGCATGGTAATACATTTATATTATGTAGTTTAAAAAACCATTACTTACGATTTTTAGTGCAAACATGATGAATAGCCCATACAGCCCATAGTTGAACTTGATAATCCATATCGACTCTTAAAAGGGGAAAAAAAGGTTTAAAGCTCCTATAAGCCACCATTTCACTGTCAGGTATTTTCCAATGAGATACTACTTCTGCTAATTCTATTAACATATCAGTTCTAGGATGGCTTGAGACCTAGTTAGTAAATTATAATTAGTGGAAAAGTCAAAAGTTTGATAACTTTTTCTATTAATTGAAAATGTCTACCACTAATTTTGACGTTCTGAATGCTTACATTGAAATTAAAGGAAAAAACTTCTACGCTAATTGAAACCACTAATTGAATTTCTGAATGAAGCTATAAAGTAAAATTGTATCAACTTTGATGCACTGGGCATGCGCAAATGTATATTTCTGACTTTATTTCTCTGCTTGAAAGTTTACAAATAAGAATTTCATATTTATTTTATTTTTCTGTTTGAACCCACCATTAATCTTAAAATTCCAAAGTACCACGAGCGAACGAAACATGATTATGATTATAATATTAAACGAAGAGTATAATTGACTAAACTATCAATAATATGGTCATATTGTACTGACAAAAGCCTTTTGGAGGAAAGTTTTGGGGTAGTTTTAATTTCTTCGGTTTATGTCGGGGATGTTTTTTAGGGTGCTGAATTCGAACCTAAGGTTTGCTAACAAAAAAGTGAAAAAAAAAAAAGATTTTTACGGTTTTTTTCTTTAAAACTTTAAAAATATCAACTTTTCGTAAATAATCATTCTATTCAAAATTAAAGTAAATATAATTTCCTATAATTTCTGTTAATTACGTTTTTTTTCTCTGAAGAATTGTTCGGGCTAAACGGCCAGTTGAAAATTGGCGTTTTTTGGTTGTCAAATACCTACTTTTTGTGCTCCAAAATTTATTAAAGTCAATGTGTTTTTTTCTAGTTTTAAGTTAAATGTCATATAGACATTGATTATGACAATAATAATTATACCACGTCCTATAATAAAAAAATTAAATTTACCTATATTATTTTTAAATTATGTGTAGTGTAAATATAAGTAAAGTAAAGTTATAGTTGCAGACGAAAAGATCCACTGTCACTTGTAAAAAGCAAAAATTATACAGCGCATATGAGTGACAATTCTTAAACAATCAAATTTAAATGAAGTGATAAAGTAAAACCTCTTGCAATAATGAACAACTCTGTACAGATAGAAAACATAACTATAATTCAAATCCAAACACACTTGTCCATCGAATTGCCATCGTAAAACGTTCAAATAATGATTTTTTGCGGTTCGAATTTAGCTTCTATTCTCTTCCTCTCTTATCATTTTAGGTGGATATTCTGAAAAGATTGTGGAAGTACCAAGAGTATAGAACGATCGACAAGTATGCTAAGAATACAATCTGCTGCAATATAGTACTGAATGCTTAGTGCCTCTGTCTCACAGAAAAGGCAAAAATTTTATCACATCAAGCTGAGGAGGGCGCTGATGTCATTATGAGAAGTACACGTCAATTTACCTTAGAAATACCGATTGAAGATAATTTTTTGTGTAAAATTATGTCATCTGAGGTAAATTCAAGCTTTTTTCAATCATACTGGAACATGAAAGGTTGGAAGTTCAAACTAAGTTTTAAAATGTTATAATGGGTCGAGGTTATTAAAAGGTAAGGTTGTCTCGTAACTTTTGGACCAATAGGAGCGAAGCGGAATAGCATCCCTCTGACGTAGATAGAACGTATAAAATCATAGATAAAAGGAATAGAAAATAAAATGCAACTGAAAAAGAGAGATAAATGGACAATACAATAAAGAAAACACACATCAAACAACTGAAAACTATTGACGCCATACACTATAAACAATAAAGTACACAATGAATATCGATTCGGAAATGCACTGTCGGACTGTGGGCAGTTTTTTTCCCTTTATCTATGAGCGGTATCATTCCCATGACGTAGTAGATGACGTTTTCGATAATGGCGGATCGAGTTACGAGACAACCTTACCTTTTAATACCCTTGATAATGGCTTACCTTCCACGCAACATCACCGTCTGAAGTGAGATGAGCAATAATTCCAGCGGCAAAATAACTTACATCGATATTTTCCGATTTTAAAAGGCGGGAAAGCTCATTTATCAATGCGTCATTAATCAGATTATGACGTAATTTAATGACTTCGGCAATATTATTAAGGAGTCCTAAGTAATACAGAAATTTAGTTAGTATTGCATGTCTTTTTCGATTCATTACCTAAAACTTTAGTTTCGATTTGAGCGTTGTTACTGAAAACTTTAAGTACATTCAAAAATAAAGTGACGCCATTTTGTTCCAAGAATACGGCGCATGTAGCCGCACTTTCGTCAGTCAGATTCCATAAAGCACTAAGTGTGAATTTTAAAGTGATATCAGCTATCCCAGAATCGGTCTTACTTTGAACTATGGCAAGCAGTTTGCGCATGTAGACTGGACGGGCCCCTAAGTCTGAAGTTTCTTCTGTGGACACCTAAAAAGATATTTGGAATAGATAATTCACGAATATCATACGAATCCGTTATTCATTATACAGGGTGAGTTTCCTACGATGTTCTCTATGGGTATCTCGGTAATTACTGGAGATAGAGAGTCGGTTAAATGGGGAAAGAATTGCAGTTTTATGGGATCATTAAATATGAACTTTTCAGATTTTTGAAAAAGTTCATGGCTTACTAGATATTTCTAAAAAACAAGTTTTGGCTATTTTAAAAATTGTCCCAATTCCATTATAATCTATTTTAGACAAAAAGTTTTCAGATAAAAGTTGTAGATCCCTAATGATGGAGTTTGTGTTCATAACATCCCTATTGAGTTTGTATTCTCCGATTTTTTTCTAAAGCCTGTCATTTTTGACATATGACACAAATATATGTTTTTAAATGGAAACAATAGTTGGCCATGACTTCATAAAAAGTGCCATCTTTTAAGTTTTTCAGCGATATATGCTATATGTTTTTCTCAAAAAAATACTGAGTTATAGCCAATTCTTATCTTTCTTGACTAATTTCACTTAGTTGGCATGGTGTTCTTATTTTGTTATGATTTATAACTTATAAAAAGACAAAATATATTATTAAACGGCTCTTTACAATTTACATTACACAAAATAAAATTAAATCACTACATACACTTTAAGTTATTTTAGAAAATGTTCAAAAAATCCGCCATCGTTTTGAGTACATAAATGCATCTTTTTAAAACTGAATTTCTAGCTATTCTCACAGAGCGACCGGTTGACTTAATTAAACTTCTCCTGCACCGCCTCTTCGAGTACCTCTCTTAATTCATACGTTCTTTTGTAAACCTTGATGTTAACCATACCGCATAAAAAATCTAAAATGTATAGGTTAGGTGATCGAGGAGGCCCATGCAATTGGTTCATTTTTTTCTATCCCTGAGTTTACATAATTATGAAATAAATAATTTTTAACATTTCTTTCATTGTGGGGAGCGGCTGGTGTGTCATAATGAAAGACGTTGGAACCACTCTATTAATGCGCGAGTATCTAAATTTAACTTTTCTAACATGTCTTGAAAGCCTAAACCGTTCTCTAAAAAACGTAAGTAACATTCACCTGTCAACGTATCCTCGAAAATGTATGGCCAAGTAAAGTTGAACCAATAATCCTACACGCTTTTCTTCATTTGAAAAATTCATATTTACAATTTTCGTTTATTTTAATTTACAAAGTTTGGATGTGACAGTTTCACATTTCTGAGAGCAACGACGATTGGACTTGTTTCCATATGGCTAACTAAGTGAAATTAGTCTAGAAAGATAAGAATTGGCTATAACTCAGTAATTTTTTAAAACAAACACATTATAGCTTATATCGCCGAAAAGCTTAAAAAACGGCGCTTTTTATGAAGTCATGGCCAACTACGGTTTCCATTTAAAAAAGGCTGTACTTAAACTGCCGTTAAAAGGTAGCTTACTAAAATGCCGTTAATATGTATGACGTCGTTGATGAGACACACTTGACGGTTTTATGAAATATAGGAATTTTATAAGGACTAACCAACGCTATCCACCCCACCAAATAACCAACTTAACCAACGCAATTAACCTTGACACTGTAAAAAAATATAAAATACAAATATAAATTAGTAAAAACCAACCAACCCCACCAAATAACCAACTAACCAATGAATTAACACCCTCCAAATAACTACGCTAACCAACCCGCCAAATAACTAAACCAATCCAACCAAAAAGAGTGAAACCAATGCAATAAGATCACGCTATAAGCAAAAAAAAAAAAATATAAAAAAGTCTTGGTTCGGCGTGAGATTTGAACCACGGACCTTTTGGTCACGAAGCAATAGCCTCAGCCACGGAGCCACAGGTGCTCTTGCAAAATGCCTATCGCCAGGCATTACTTTCCGCCGACATCAACGACGTCATAATATCTATTAACGGCATTTTAGTAGGCTACCGTTTAACGGCTGTTTAAGTACATCGTTTAAAAAAACATATGTTTGTGTGATACGTCAAAAATGACAGACTTGAGAAAAAAAATCGGAGAACACAAACTCATTAGGGATGTGATTATCTACTAATCTAATGACTAACTAATCTCTAATGACTATCTCTACTAATTTGTCTAACTACTAATCTCTAATGACTATCTCTACTAATTTGTTCTACAACTTTTATCTGAAATATTTTTCTCTAAAATAGATTATAATGATCTGCATGGTTTTTTGACATTTCTATTTCTTCTGAGCCGTTTTCTTCAAATGGGCCTCTGCTTTCACATTAAAATAGTACAAAAAAATGTCAACCAACCATAGACTTAAAATAAAATATAGACTACACTATTTACATCTTAACGCGGTCAAACAATCTTTTTTGTACACATGTTTACTTCTGGGTACAGTCGACCTAGCCTTCCTCATCCAACCTATGTTGTCACGTCTTTAATATTATCAATATTTTTTTTTTTTGTTATACACATATATTGAGATATTAATACTACATTTTAATAAAGTAGGTTTTAATACTCCATAGATGTATTAAATAGTCCTTATACTACTAAATTATAAGTCGGATACTATTTAAAAAGGATAAGTTCTTTACAATATGGCAACACCGAGGTCGCCTATTCATTCATTTATTACCTTGTATTACGTGTCGCACGTGTGCGGTAAAGCTTTGTTGCCGCTATCTCCCCGGCTGTATTAACGCATTTTCTTAGCTTGTAGTCCTTAAGTGTTAAATTTAAGTTTTAAATTTCAATCCAGGGTGCCCAGATGTTGTTAAAAACACTAAGTTTTAATCAAGGAGCCTTGAAAAAATAGTTTTGATCGTCTAATGGGTTTCGTGTCTTGTCTAGGCCGGTTAAAAGATGTACAAATCGTATTTTTAATCATATGTCAATTTTTTCAAATTGAATAAGGGTGACTCATTAGCATATTTGGAAAAACCATTTTTTATGAATATATTGATACCAAACACTTGGTATTTCGAGTCAAATTGTCGTTATAAACTACGTGTTACAATTACCATTAAACCATATGCGAAAATGTCAAAAGTTGACATATGATATGCCATTCTATTCAGAGTGTCATTTTCTATCGAATAAAGTAGAAATATACCGAGGGTGCCATTTAAAAATTAAAAGTTATAGTCATTTCCGGTGAAACAGGAAGTGATCAAAAACAATAATTGAATGTGTCAATCAGTCCTAATCTATGTCATATATTAGCATACTAAATCTTGTTTTTTTATTTGAAAAAATAAAAAAATTATGGGGATGAGCCACTTTTGGGCTTTTTGGCACCCGGTATAATAAAGACAATACCCAGTTAAATAAATGTAGTTTTTCATTTTATCTACTTCCTATCACCTTCCTTGCTTTAATGGAACAGATTTATGTTTTCTCTAATTTACATAAATAAGACATCACTTAACCAGAAAAAAAAATTACAACAATCATATTTTTTTTTCTCCCTGTCGCCGATTCTATTATATCTGTAGAATAGATCCTGTTTTGATTAATATTAGGGGTTGTAAATGTTGGACTAAAATTAATATTTTTTTAATAATTTCAAAAATTACGTAATTTCGATTATAAAATTTCTTCTATAACATGTATTTTATTATTTTTATCCTTTTTGGACTCTAAGACGTTTTTTCTAAACTTTTATTTAAAAAAAAACCTCTCCTAAATCTTAATAAAATATAAAAAAGTTTAAATACGATATATTTTTAATTTAATTATAGCTTCATTAAAATAAAAAAAATTACCCGCCTATGATACGGAGAGTTCAGGTGTACTTGAGAAATGAAAGACAGTGACAGTGTTGCGTTTCTCGTCAGAGTCGTCAGGGAACGACCGTTACGACAAAGACAACCTATCTATCGCTCGTGTCGCGCTCGTTATAACCTAAAACAATAACAAGACATTGTCTGGCCGCATGTTCCAGCTATTTATGAATGAGATGCTCAGTCTATATTTTATTTTAAGTCTATGCAACCAACACTTTTCTCTTTCTCTTGTTATATGATCATCTATAGTCATAAATAAGGAGTAATATAAGGAGCGACATATATGTTTTTTAAAAGTATACCATATGATAAACATTTTACACTATATCGCTAGTCAGTAACAGAAATTGAAGCCAAATTTTTCAGATGGAGCTATACAAAATCCACATAAGTCGTCCTTTTCGTTCAACAGCTTTGAACTACGCAAGCGTGAGAAGTGCTTCTCAATTAGTTGATTCATTTCTAACTAACCAATAGAAATAGAAGTTTCTATCTACCACGTATATCAATTTGGCGTCTGACTATTCACGCTTTTACTTATAAATTTAAATTTAATCTCTGACATATTTAAACAAAAACAAGAAACCGATAGATATGACTAATATCTAAAATAACAGGTTGAAATAATGCCATTACCAATAAAAAATAATATATTATACGTTATTTATTATATGTTATTAATATTTAGAGTTAAAAATAGTGCGCGGGCAGGTAACAGCGTTCAGCGATGAAGTAGACGAATCAGATCGTTTTATTTGGTGCGTGCGCAGGAAAATCCTCTTGAACGAAAAGGATAGACTTATGCAAGATTGATATTCCTATTTCTTTTCTTTGGCTTCACTTTCCACTCATTGTGTAAATGCGGTACTAGCAATATATTCTTATAATATATTTGATTGAAACGTACAATATGAGACTTTTCAAGATAATAATTACTTACTTTTGATGCTAAAATGCTACAAATTGCAACGGCCATTCTGTCCATGTTCATATCCTCAAAGCCACAAAGGGCATCAAGTACTAGCCTAAAATAATATATACAATGTATGTGTTTTGTGACAATTAACTTGCAATAGAGTTCTATAATATACAGGAAAATTTTCATCAGCATTTTTCAAACAAACCATAAAACATCACAAACGTGCCCCTGTTGTTTTCATCTAAAGCCAGTTTAATACTAGCACTTGATCATACTGCAATTAATAATAGGCCAAAATGCTTACCTTGCACATCTATATCTGTCAAAATTAACTTCTTGTAAAATTCTATCACTACATAAAGTAAGTAATGAATTTTTTTGTAACTGAAACTCGTCTGGAAATGTTTCCATTGCCATTAAAGTTAAATCAACTCCTTTACTGAGAGATTTCGGATGTATGTTCTTGCTTAAATCTCCTCTTGTTAAATTGTACAAGCAAGCTGTTGCTGCCATTTGAACACCAAATCTATATAGCAATATTTTAATACATTTTGAATCATCAAATCAAAACATAAAAACTATTATATCAATGCAATTTTCCAGATGTATGTAACTATTATATCAATAAAATTTTTAAGAAAATGTATACATATTTTTATTATTATGAAAATTTTCTGCAACATATACAGGATTGTTCACCAGATACGACACGGAATATCGTAGCTAAACGACTAGATTTTTACAAATTGTAAGTTCTCGGTTCGTTGAAAGACTATTAGAGCTACAATTTAAAAATATTTTTACAAGATACAGAGTGTCCCAAATAAAGAAAAAATATCAAAGTTGTATTTATTTAAACGGAACTCCTTGTATATTATTACATTTTTAGTCTCTACGATTAAAATAAAGGTAAATTTGATTAAGGTTTATTACACTTAAACCTTATCGTTTTTGAAATATTTTCAATTTTGTGAAATTGCAGCAAAAATTTTAAGGCTTAGTCATTTCTCCAAGGGTATTAAAATTTGTAACACTAAATATTTACTGAAGTTTATTTATTGATCAGTTATTGTGTTGCAATGATAAAAATAATACTTCATACAGAGTGTCTAAAAATTTATTTTAAATAATTATTTCTTTCTTTAAACGGCAATAACTTGTTTAATTTAAATAGAATACTATTTAAATTAAACAAGTACAATGAAACAAAAAAGAGATAGGTAAAAAATGGTAGAAAATAAATTGATAGACAATTAACTTGTGCTTCTGATTCTCATAAAATATACAGGGTATTCCATTTAAATTAAACAAGTTATTGCCGTTTGAAGCTAGTAATTATTTAAAATAAATTTTTAGACACTCTGTGTACGGTAGTATAATTTTTATTATTGCAACACAAAATTTAGTAAATAGAAATACTTCAGTACAATATTTGGTTTTAAAAACTTAAATACGCCTAGAGAAATAAAGCATTAAAATTATTACTGTATTTTGACAAAAACCTAAATATTTAAAAAACGGTAAGATTAAATTGCGGTAAACCTTAGTTAAATTTACCTTTATTTTAATCGTAGAAACCTTTGGTAGAAACTAAAAATGTAATAATATACAGGGCGTTCCATTAAAAAAAAACAATTTTTTATTTATTTGGGACATTCTCTGTATCTTGTAAAAATATTTTTAAATTGTAGCTCTAATAGTCCTTCAACGAACTCAAAACTTTTTGCACAAAATCTAATCGTTTACCTACAATACTCCGTGTCGTATGTGGTGAACAACTGTATATTTCCACAAAAAAAAAACTAAGTAACTAGACGTTAAGTTATTATATGATAATTTTCTTACCTACTAGAATGAGCAGCCATTACTGGTAATACCAATTTAAAAACATCAGGTCTTGCTTCACCAAATGAACTAGTTAACTGAAACAAGTGATATAAAGCTTTTTGAACGTAACTTGATCTCTCTTTGTAATATTGTAATGTAACTTTGATTTGGCTTTCATTTCCTAGACCTGCTATCTTAAGATGATGAACATAATCTGGAGACTTAGGATCACAGAATGCTGGATCAAATGTTACATCATTTAAAACTATGCCTACAAAAAATCATTGTTATTAGTATCACAGATTAGGTATCCTATAAGTATACAGATAAAAATCTTGTCCCTAATTCGTGGTACGAAAATTGTTTTTTATGACGATGTGCAAACGAGTCAAATTTCCTGTGCGCAAAAATAAACTCGCGTAAAATAACAATAAACAGCGTATTAGAAAGATATCGCTAAACCGAATAGCCTGCATGGACGTTAATAAGACCAGGTGTTATTTCCTTTACGTGAGGTGGTATTAACTCTCTTCATTTATAGTTATCGGATCGGAAAGAATTCTGATCGCGTCGCGTCCGCTATTTAAACTTAACCTAACTTTGAATTTAAAACTTTGAAATTGTTTTGTTTACTAGGTATTTTAAAACTAAAGGGCTAAAGTGCTTATTTCCAGTGCTTTATTGTTCAACGTCTGCTAGTGGGTTTAGGGCAACAAGCAACAAATTCTCTTACAACGGCTAAGTCGTCATCTGCTGTAAACCTATAAAGACTCTTTATAGGTTCTTTAGTATTGGAAGAGGTGGAATCCATATTTTGGGCCATATTTATTTAATTAAAACTAATCCCAGCTACTTAAATATCAAATTACCTAATAAAACTAAAGCAATAATTCAAAACAATTCAAACATAACCTAAAATAAAAGATCTCGCCGGCTGGATCCGGTTGGCAAATACCCGCACATGCCCATTTAAGCAATTTTTAAACGTTATCAGAGGTTATTTAGAAAGAGCGCTTGGTGTAATTGAGCCGCAAATTACGTCAGGCGGTAACGTTATTAGCGAGTGTTGCGTTAAAAATTGACTCGCGCATATCGTAACCATGATAAGGTACGCGTAAATACTGGATGACGCTATTCGGTTTTCCGATATCTCTCTAATAACTGTGCCGGTCAGGCGCTGTGCACAATTTTAGAGGCCATAAGTGGGCGTGCTATGTGCGCAAACTAGTCACCTAACTAGTGCCAGATTCCGAAAATTGGAACCAAGAAAAACAATAAAGAAAAAACAAAGATTATAATCTGTATAATCTGTGTTAGTATCGATACATTAGGTTTGTTCCAGCCAGCATTTCGGGATCGTTTCGAAATCGTACTCGAATCGGTTTTCTTGCACTTTGTTAGCATGCGCGGACTTGGTTAGTTTCGTGACGGTGCAAAAAGTATCAACGTTGGAACGCTTTTGCCGTCCTCCTTTCACGCAGTTGAGCAGCTCTGAACTGTTCAAGAACGCGATACTCTCACTCCATTCAATTGCGTCATAAAGTTCCAGAACTGTTCCGCGCCATATGGCGGCACGAGGCTATCGCGCACAGCTCCTTTCAGAACCGTTCTCGAGTAGCCCCAGGGCGTAAAGCCCGGAAATCGAAGTTCACGAAAGGAGGACAGCATATGTGGATTGTTTTCGGTACTGTCAAAAGTGTCAATCGTGCGTGTATCGATCGGTTTTTTGTTTTTGTTGAGAATTTCACAACATAACCCTATTATTTTTGTTTGCAATTTGCAATAATAATAATTATTATTCTTGAAATGGAGAATCAGAATCCAGTAATTGTTGGTAAGTGTTGTTTCAGAAAGCTTACCTAAATATTGTTCATTTTTCACCCTTTAACTAGGAGGAACTCCAAATTGTCATTATCTGAAGTGGAGGTAAAGAAATCAGAAGTATAACGCACACGTATTCGAATTCGTAAAAAATAACCAAGCCAGAAGCATCAGCCGGACCACTTCCCCTACGAGATGCGAGACCTTGACGTTGGTGGGGAAGCTCCCGGCCAGGGCACCGGAGGGGACCCCTCTTGCGCTCTGGCTAGGTCTAAGGAGCATCTCAATGTCTTGTCCCTGGCTGTAGTGTCATGGCCAGGGAACTGCATCAAGACATAAAAACGATGCCGGACGGGACCTCCTACGGGACTTAACGTCCGTCATACCGTAAGTCTCTTAGGAGACATGGGGCTTTGGCTTTACTGTCTGAGCCGCGTGGATGAGGTACCACTATAAAAACCTCCCCAAATCCTACGGTATAGTGCGCGCCAAAGGGATGGATGGTCGGGGGAAACCCGACCACTAGCGACTAACCTGGGATACCGGGCGACCTCCCAGCTCATAAATGCCTAGTCACGGTATTGCGGGCTCTGCCGTGATGGTCGTTTCTTTCCCTGCTACTCGTGGGATCATTATATGGACCAAGAAAACAAAACCCAATGACGAGGATGGATCAAACTGTCCCGATCCTTCTCCTAAGGAGGAGGAAACTAAGGAGCGTGGGACTATTCCTACCCCAAACAACTCACCTCAGCCGGATCAGGAAACAGAGGGGCCCAGATCCCCTCGCCTGAGAAGGCAGAAGGTGAACCTCCTTTCGGGGTCTCCAAGCAATTGGAGAAATTATCCCTGAAAAGAAAAGGTTTGCAGGGGCGACAAGAAAGCTCCTCTCAAGACTTCTCAAGGGCGGAATGCCCTATGAGACCGCTCTGCAGACGATTCTGCAGCGACAAGCGGAGAAACAAAGGGCACAGATAAGTGGGGGTACCTCTTCCGGGAAGAGACAAATCAACCCGGAGGAGAATAAACTCACACTGGTGCTCCTAATGCTAGCAAGCGCATCCGCTCGGATGCAAGCACGCCTGAACAGAGCGCTAAGAAGCCTTGTAGGAGGGCGCAAGAAGCTACGTGGAAGCCGCTGGGGAAATAAGGGTTGGAGTAATCCGACCTAACCACCCAGAGAACAGCCTATCCACCGAGCAACTCTTGTTGTTGAAACGTGCCATTATGAAGGCCGTGGACGCAAGCACAGAGGAAGGACTACAGGTACGCTTCCAAGGCTGCTCGATTCGGCCTGGATGGCTGCTTGTAATCTGTGCCGACGAGACCAGCGCTGCGTGGTTAGAAAGGACGGTCAACGACCTTTCGCCATGGCAGGGCATGGAACTCAGGGCAGTAAGGGGGCGGGATATACCCAAGCCTCATGTCTGTACGGCCTACATTCCCGATGATGAGCCTGGAGAACGGCTCAGAGGGGATGTTGTGCTGAACAGACTTAGAAGAATGAATCTTAGCCTGCTAACTCAGGAGTGGAGAATCCTCCACCAGAGTGATGCAGGGCCGGGACAAACCTGGACCTTTGCGGTTGATGAGAGATCCATGGATCTTCTTCGCCGCAACGGATTCAGGGCCTACTTTGGGTTTGGGCAGATTACCTTCCGACCCAGAGATAAGGAAAATGAAACCAACACGGAGCAGACCAGGGCGTCAGTCTCGGGAGATGGTGGGGACCATCCTACAGCCTCCCGGGTGACGACTGACGCCACGAGGTCTGGCAACACCCAGAGGGAGAGAGCTGGAGGCAAAGTAGTGGCACGGAAAAACCCGGCCATGAAAGGGTCTAAAGCTAAACCCTCTGGAGCCTCGGGGAAGCCTGGCAACTCGAGTGGGAACAAACCCACCCGGAAAGGCAGGCGGAACGAATGTAGGTTTCCCACCAAAAGGGGACGTAGACCCCTGACGGTGGGAGCAAAACCTAAATTTGACTACTGCAGGGATGGCTGCAGCAGTCAAATGTATACAAATTAACCTGCAACATGCCAAGGCCGCCTCTAACGTCCTTGGCAGAAGGTTCAAGAAGGAGGACGCATCTCGCCTTCATTCAAGAACCCTGGGTTAACTCAGGCCGCGTATGTGGCCTTGGGGACGCAGAGGGTAGGCTAATTACCGCCCCTGGAGTAACCAGACCTAGGGCATGCATTTTAGTAAAAAAGAGCGTGCACTCTTTTAACCTTTATAGGTTATGCTGTCAGGATGTGGTGGCGGTACATATCAAGATCCCAGCGGGGAGAAGCGGAGGGGGAGTGGAGTTCATTGCCTGCTCAGCATATTTCCCGGGAGACAAGACAGCGGATTTACCTCCTCCAAAGAAAGTGAGAGAACTAATCTCCTTCTGCAAGAGGAAAAACCTACAGCTGGTGATAGGATGCGACGCCAACGGCCACAACGAGGCATGGGGAAGCACGGACACCAACTTCAGAGGTGAGTTAATTCTTAATTACTTAATAGGTGAAGGGTTAGTAGTTAATAACATAGGCTCCGAACCAACCTTTGTTACTTGTAACAGGAAAGAGGTTTTAGACATTACGGTCAGCTCTAACTATTTGAGCAATAGGATATCCAATTGGAGGGTATCATCTGAGCCATCGTGCTCGGATCATAGACACATACAGTTTGAAATAAGCGTAGGTGAAAGAACTCTCCTGCAATATAGGGATCCTAAGTGCACAGATTGGGAAGGATACAACCGCTCACTCGTGCATCTGCTGGAACCCACAATTGCAAAAAAGTGAGAGATCGCGACGAGATCGAGATTGCAGCGGAGCAACTGCGATGTGCAATTATAACGGCTTATAGTGAAAACTGTCCACTTAAAACAAAGAAGGATAATAGAAAGTCCTCTTGGTGGAACAACAAACTGGACAAAAGAAGAAAAGAAGTGCGGCAGCTTTTTAACCGCGCTAAAGTGTCAGGTAACTGGGAAACTTATCGTGCGACGTTGGCGGAGTACAATAAGGAAATAAGACGGGCGAAGAGAGAGTCCTGGAGAAGGTTCTGTGGGAGTCTGGTCGATCTACCTCAAAGCACCAGAATTCACAAGATTCTCTCAAAAGAACCAGTGAATGAGCTAGGGACGATACAGCGCCCCGAAGGTAATTTCACAGAGTCCAGGAAAGAAACGCTACAGATTTTGGCCCAAAACACACTTCCCAGGCTGCTTGATACTAGGTGATGAAGAGCTACCCCCAATACTCATGCGTCGTAAAACCGGCCCAAAAAAAGAGGATTGGGAGATAGCGAAGAAAGTAATCACCTATAGGGAGACTAAAGGGGCGATAGAAAGTTTCGACCCATTCAAATCCCCAGGAGAGGACGGAGGTTTCCGGCCTTATTGCAGAAGGCTGAGAACATTATCGTCCCTCGCTTATTAAGAATTTTTAGGGCAAGTCTGGCATGGTCACACCTGCCAGCTGACTGGACGAGAGCAAAGGTGGTATACATACCGAAAGTGGGGAAACAAAACCTACAACCTGGCTCATATCGACCAATAAGCCTTACATCATTTCTGCTGAAGACTCTGGAGAAGATATTGGATGGACACATTAGGGGAGGATTCTTACGTCTAATCCCCTGAATGTCCGACAATATGCTTATCAACAGGGAAAATCAACAGAACTGGCCCTCAACAATTTGGTAGGGGAAATTAAGAGTACCTTTGATCGCAAAGAAATTGCGGTAGGGATATTCCTAGATATTGAGGGAGCATTCAACAATGTCACCCCTCAATCGCTCCTAGGCGCTGTGAAAGCACGAGGAGTCGAAGCTACCATAACTGAATGGATTGAGCAAATGCTCAAAATCGAGTAGCAACGACCTCGCTCAGTGGTGAGTCCGTTAGGTTTGTTCCGGGCAGGGGATGCCCGCAAGGAGGAGTTCTCTCTCTCTTCTGTGGATCCTGTTAGCGGACGACCTGATGGCAATCATCGATGCATACGAGGTTGAAGCACAGGCATATGCGGACGACCTGGTGATCCTAGTAAAGGACACAAAGAGGAGGACATCTCCTCAAAAATACAGGAAATCCTAGATGCAATTCACGGCTGGTGCACACTGGAACAATTAAGTGTAAACCCACAGAAAACCGTGATCATACCATTCACCAGAAGAAGGAAAAACAGACAAACTGAAACCGCCCATTCTTCTTGGTGAGACAATTCCGTTTGCGGAGGAAGTTAAGTATCTGGGATTAAACCTGGACAAAAAACTTAGCTGGACCTCTCATCTGGAAAAACATCAAAAAGGCTTGCTATGCTCTATGGGCATGCCGCCGAATTTGGGTAGAAACTGGGGATTAAACCCCAAAAATATGTACTGGCTATACGTGACGGCCATCAGACCTATTATCACGTATGGTGCAGTTGCCTGGTGGCAGAAAGCCAACCAAATAACGGCAAAGAATAAATTGTCGAAACTACAACGACAAGCATGCCTAGCGGTGACTGGTGCCTTCCATTCCACGCCGTCAAAAGCTATGGAAACCCTACTCGATCTACCTCCTCTTCAAATTCTTTTGGAAAGAGAGGCGAGATGGGCTACATATAGGTTTCTAAATATAGCACGAGGAAGCCAAGGAACAATTATGTTCATACAAAACCGGCTAGTAGAAGAACTACAGTCGGATGAGATTCTGGGAATGATCTCGGATCTTACACCACCAGTCCAACTCTTGACGCGCACCTACAACGTCCTGTTTCCGAACAGGGACGAGTGGGACAAGCCGGGAAACGGCTTATTACATGCGGAAATGTGTTGGTACACGGACGGATCCAAAAACGAAAAAGGATCTGGCGCAGGAATTTACTGCAGCAGTCCAAAGACTGAGATCTACCACAGTCTTGGAAAACACACCACGATCTTCCAAGCTGAGCTATATGCTATTGAAACCTGTGTGCAACTGCTGGTAGAACAGCAATACACCGGGAAAACAATATGCATATTTTCGGATAGTCAAGCTGCGCTGAAAGCACTTGAGGCAACGAAAAGCACGTCTATGACGATTCTTCATTGTAAGAAACTACTCAATATACTGGGAGATAGGAACAAAGTGTCGCTAATATGGATACCGGGACATGTCGGCCTAGAGGGAAATGAACGTGCTGATTCCCTCGCCAAAATTGGTGCAGGCGCGCCATTCGTGGGGCCAGAACCGACACTTAGCGTTCCCAAAAATCTCGCAAGAGACAGGCTCTGTGAATGGGTTAGGGGTGAGACATTCCGAGACTGGAATGACAGTCCCGGAATGGAGCATGCCAAGAAAATCCTAGCAGGGCCATCCAAACATAGAACAGGAGAACTCCTAAAGGCCGGTAGGAATGGAACGCGTGTGCTCACTGCAGTGTACACGGGCCACTGCCGGCTGAGATCTCACCTGCAGAGGACGGGACTGGTGGAAGACGCCGAATGCCGACTCTGTATGGAAGATGATGAAACAATGAAGCACGTTATAAAATGCCCCTGCTGGGAGCAGGACCAGGTTTGAGATGTTTGGCAAACCATGCTAGACCTATCAGACCTAGGAGACATATCGCCCTCAGACATAACGGCCTATATTAAGAGGCTGGGTCTTGAGGATGAACTTTGACGCTCTTGTAAATTAGAGCTTGTAGAAACTGAGCCACAATAGGCCCTCGCGGCCTCAGTGGAGGGTCCCCCTTGGGACCCACTCTTAGTCAAATACAAATACAATCAGCCGGACCAGAATCAGCTGTTAAAAATCGATAACCCCTGCCAAGATGCTTTAATGCGCAAGTCAACCCAAACAGTTCACAATTTGGACCATGTACCGAAATTACCGTTCTGAAATCGTAACTAAACGATCCCAAAGTAGGTTGGTACGCAAATAGGATCGTCCGATAACCATCAAATCTTGGTTGGAACACATTTGAATTACAGCGCACGAGCGTGATCGTTCGGTAACGGTTCTGCGGCGGGTTGGAACAAACCTATAAATTACCGGTAATTTACATCACTACGCACGCGCACTTATGCGGTACTTAAGCCGGAGTCTCATGCATCCGAAATCCGATGACACGACGATCCGACGGTGCTCCTATTGGTCGAAATATTTTGACAACAATTTTTATCCGATAATTTTAACTAATCATCCGACGTCGTATAAAGTTAAATTTTGTTTAACTTTTGTACGATATCGTGTGTTTTTTAACCTCACTTTTTTTGAAAACATTTGTTTTAAAAACAAGTTTAGTGGGAAGTGGGCAATTTCGGGATATTTGGCGAGGAAGTTATTTTTATAAGTGTTTCTCCAATAAAACATGACATGAATCTCTATTCAGCGCAGCAGAAAAATGTTAAAACTGTCAAATTTCGGAACGAACTTTCGGATGTATGTGACAGGCTTTTTTTATTTCACACGATAACTTCAAATTTCGGATGTCGTACCATCGGATTTCGGATGCATGAGACTCCGGCTTTACGCGCCGCTTCGCTTAAGTGAGCGGGCTTTCAAAACGTTGGCAGCCTAACCTAACCTTTACTCACCTAAAAATTCAAGTTTTATATGATTATGGATGAACTTCAACAGTGATTGCATCAAACAATGTTTTTTCCACCCAGATATGTCTAAAGAAACGATATTAGGTATTAATCCATCTATTTCTAATAACTGCAATATAATTGGAGTATCCAATTTGTGAGCATCCAACTTTTCATTGTATATACTCATATCGAAAAACTTTAGATTAGCCAGTTGCATTAAAGTTTCTATTATAGTATCTATTGCATTAACAAGGTTCTAAAAAAATTAAAAAATATATGAATATAGAATAAAAATATTTGGTTTTGGTTGTGAAGTACTTACACATATTGAAAGTGCTATTAATGTTTCGCCAAGTAAAGCAAGAGGACTCAAATCTGTAACTTGCGTACAAGAAATATCTAAATTTTCTAGATGTTTTAAATCTTCACAAATTAATTGAAATGTTGCTTGGTTTAACTCGGTTTGAGAAAGATTAAGAACTCTTAAATGTTTTAAACTAGTGATTTTCACCATAAAACTGTATCTAAATGCGTTAATAAAAGTACATTTAGAAAAGTTTGCATTTACTATATTCTGTATACTCCATTCTCCTAAACAATCTAAAAACAGAATGTCCAATCATTTACCTAGATCTATATGTTTGATTGTAGAGTAATTAAACCCAAAGTTTTTCAAAATTCTACTTAAAAATACAATAAAATTTCGAGGACTTATAATAAAAGATTTAAAAAAACTCAATTTTTAATTTATTGTATTATATTCATATTTCTATAAGAAGTTTTATTACCAATTTCAAAATATTTATTAATATTTTTTTTATAATTCCATATCGTATATATTATAATTTCATATCGACATTGACAAGTCTATAAACCTAACTAAATGAAATTTCCGCAAAAATGTTTAAATTTGTTGTATATATTATATTGTATAATTTAAGATACCGAGCAGCTGTTCATTTTACTTTATAGAGCAAATGATTGTAACAGATATTTTATTTAGATTAAAGCTGCAAAAATTAGTTTAAACCGAATTTTATCATAGCTATGTTGGCCACATTGCGCCGTTTTCAGCAAGGTTGTCGTTTATTATTTGGTTGTAGAAAGAATTGTAGGAAAGGTTGTAGAAATTATTGTTTATTATTGTTTGTCACTTTTAAATTAAGATTCATCTCATAAATCCATCACAATCTGGCAGCGCTGTCGTCATCGCTTGTTACTCAAAGTTTATTACGTGCATCGGAAATTGTTTTGCGATTACCATAATATACTAGCCATTGTCACTTCATCTGCGTAGTCTGTACTTTAATGCATGCGACAGAGATAAATATCAATGACCGGTTGACAGACAGGGAGACAAAATAAAAAGCGGCAAACAGTGTTGCCGGTTTTTACGCTTGTAGGAAAATACGTGTAGAAAAAAATAAACGATTTTAAAAACTTTCATGTATACTACTGAAATGAAGATAATATATCTAAACTAAATATAATCCTTGTATATATATTTTTAAAGTAGCTCAAACTAAGACGTTTATGGATGTAAAGCACCAGATGGCGGGGCGTATTTCACAGTTTTTTGCTACAGAAAAATATTTTTTGTTACTCTGAATTTTGAAGCGACCAATAAAAACAGAGAAAATAAAAATCGATAATTTTCGGACTGTGCCAATTGGTTACTAATCGACCAGATACTTTTTGTCTATTAGATATGCTATAAAAGCTGGTAATTATAAAATTCGACCATTGTAAATACCCGACAAATTCTTCAAGGCCGACGAGGCCGATGTTTGATAAGAAATAAAAATGTTTGTTTAGATAATTTTCGAGATTTTGTGAACATATCGATATTAATTAAATTAAATTGTTTGAGTGATATTTTCAAAAGTCAATAACTCGGAAACGGTTGGTTTGAGGTATATTGTGTTTATTTCAATTTTTGCTTAGAACTGAAGGAGGAATTTAAACTAACACTGTACATTAACAAAAAAAAAACAATTAAAATAAATTTTGTAAAGTATCTGGTAAGCATGTAAACTAGCAGAAATTTACTTAAAAAACTGAGGTAAAATCCCCATCCTAACCAGATTTTGTAAATAGTTTGCATACTAACCAGTTAAAATAAAAACTAGTTGCGGTTGTCTGCTATTTTGCCAGAATAGGCGGATTCCTTCAAAATAACAGCGCATTTAGTTAGTTTGCAAAATAGCTGGCTAGTTTTAAAACCAACCAAGTATCCTTTTTAGCCGTAACATATACAATATTTATTGTTCATTTTTGCATTCATATTGAGTCAAAGAAACACTATACAACATAAATAATATTTTTTAAATTCAAATTACGCTTTCTGTCAAAAGCCGTCAAAACTAGTGATGGGTTGTTATTTAACTATCTGTTATTTTATAACAATTATTTATAAATAACATAACGCAACCGTTACTACTTCTAAAAAATAACAGATATAAAATAACGAAACGTAGAGATCGGCCGCTCGTGAAACGAAAAACGAAGTCGGCGCTCTGCACCGCCACGAAATTCTATGCTGCTCGAAGCAATTCCAAAAAACAACTAGTATGGATGGAAAACATGTTATTTCGACAACCATCGATACAGGCGGCGAGATATAACGGACAACGGAGTGGGGTATGCGCTAAGGCGCGGCGCGGCTTGTTGGGCTTACAACAGCTTAAAAATAATAGGATATAAAAGAAGCAGGTTTTTTGAAACAGTTGCGGGCATAACGCCTGGCGGTGGAGATAACAGGAGTGGGAAAGGAACGCTGCTGCATCGGTCGATTGTCGATGGAGGCTCGCAACGGGTTGGAGAAGCAGTCATTTTATGCCCGAACCGCACATGCGGCATTTGGCGATCTCCGATCAGGGCTTCGCCGATTTCCTATGTGTGTGGATGGAGAAGTCGGAGTTCGGCGACTCGATCGGCGACGAGAACGAGCGCTAGTCTCTATGTTGTTGCTATCAGAGCCCGCATGTGTGGATGGAAAGACGAAGTCCCATCACGAGCGCTCGGTAGTTGACGAGCGCTCGGAGTTCGCTAAATGCCGCATGTGCGGTTGCGGCATTAGATATGTTGTTTTTCAACCTGTTACGAGCATAACCGGGCGGCGGTCGAGATAATCGGTGTGGGAAAGGAACGCTGCTGCATCGGTCGATTGTCGATGGAGGTTCGAAACAAGTTGGGGAATAACGTATCAGTTGTTTTAGATACATTCTGTTTCAACCTGTTACGAGCTTAACGGACGGAGGTCGAGATATTATGGCGCTGTATGTTTCAGTACTTACTTATTAAGTTTCAATATTTAGGTATTTACTTATTCTGAAAATTTTTCAGAATAATATTTTAAGATTTTTTAAAAATGTATACAGGGTGTTTTGAAAAATCTGGTCATTGATTAATCACGATCCTGCTTAAAGCCCTTGACGTAAAAAGCTGATTTTTGGAAAACGGATTGACTTTAGTGTAGAGGTTCGATAAGAAGGGATTTTTCGAAACTCGAATTCTAAGGGGTCAAACTACTCTCAAACATTAGAATATTTTTTATTTAAAAACCGGTGAGTTTTTCGGAAAAACTCTTAAAACACGTATGTTTTATTATGTTGTTTTACATATTTTAAGATTTTTAAAAATATATACAGGGTGTTTCATAAAATATGACCATTGAGTAATCACTATTCTGCTTAAACTGCTGGACGTTTAAAGCTGATTTTTTGCAAACGGATGGGTTGAGGTTCGATAAGGAGGGGTTTCTCGAATCTCAAATTCCAACAGGGTGAAAACGCCCCTCAAATATTACAATATTTGTTATTTAAAAAACTGTTAGTCTTTCGGGAAAACGCCTGGACACGCATAATTTATTTTGTTTTTTTTACATATTTTGAAATTTTTTAAAAAATAATACAGGGTGTTCCAAAAAGTTGAGTAATTGATTAACCACGCTTCTGCTTAAACTGCTCGACGTTAGAAAGCTTATTTTTGCCAAATGGGAGAAAATTTTATCCAGTTTGTATGTTAATGGAAATTCTTGTTTTGCTTTATCATCATCATTAGAAATTATTAATTCGACGCGAACGAAGTCGCGGGTACACGCTAGTTTAAGTGTAAAATTAATTCGAACTCTAGTGTGTAGTTGGTTTACTTATGAAGAATATACTACACATTTTCTTATATTGCTATTTTTTGACCGCAAATGGTAAAATCATCACTAAGAGCTTCTCGCCCGTCGAGTGAGATGCACCCTGTACACTGCTACGCAATTCAGGATCTACGCGGATCGAGGGGCAGGGCGTAGGTAGATCGGAATGTATAGGTATAGACGAGTGGCGGAATTTTGGCTTTTTTTTATATCGCAATTTGTAAACAGCGCTTATTTGTAAACAACCACAGTTTTTAGAGAGGTATTTTAGAAAACAATCGATATTTAGAAATGTTTTGACACCCTGGAAATACTACCACCGAGCACGTCATTGCGTTAATACGCCTGGCGGTGACCGCCTCATACTCTTTCAGATATTTAGCAGTAAAATAAAGAAACCTGTTATTTTTAAGCTGTTATTTTAAGCTGTTTTTTATAAATAACTATAACAGTTTCAACTGTTATCTAAAAATAACAGTTTTGCCCATCACTAGTCAAAACCGTTATGTCAAGCGCGGTCGCCAGCATAGAAATTGTGGTGTGACGTAGCGTTACGCCACGCCCCTTTCTTGTACAATAGATGTTTGTATGTGTTTTTGAGGTAGGTACTAAATGTGTAAATAAAATTCAAATTTTTTGTAATCTGGCATTTTTTAGATGTAATTTTGATTAAAAAAAAAAAAAAAAGTTAAACTATCCCATTCACTTTGTGATGTTGCTCATTTATTGTTCCTATTTTTATTCATATACCTAGATCGTTTATAATAGTATTAGAAACTGTACATACCTAAAATATCACCAATGCTAATGTTCTTCACATTAACTATTTCTAAATCAGTTATTTTATGTTGTTTAAGGACCTGAAGACCGCATTTAGTAACTTTACAATTTCTTATTTTTACTACTTTCAATATTGTATTATGCTCAGTAAATATATTAAGAGTTGCGTCACATAAAATTCGTTTTTCCATCATTTTGGCCATTAACTTTTCAGATATCTTGTTTATAAGAAATATATGTGAATCTCTAAATTTGTATCTTTTATCGCTGCGTTCATCATCATAACAATCACTGCCTAAAAATTCTCTGATTAAAAAATATTGAGCAAAGAATATTTAAAAGTAGTTTTAAATAAAATAAAATTATAAATTGGTATTTTTATATTATAAATATACAATCTACCTTCGACGGCACTTGTCCACCCATCTTCTGTTTGAATTTGGGGTTCAATATAAGTCAAAATATTATGGCAAATAACATCTAAGCAAGTTTCTTCTAAAGAAACAGGACTTTCATACATCTTTACAATATACCTTTATAAATATAGGAGCCCTGATAAATAAAAATATAATAATTAGAACACTGTTTTTTTTGCCATTATTTAAAATTAATGTTTCCTATTATTGAATAATAAATATTATTCAGCACGCGTTAAGATACTTTGATAAAAATATTGTAAAAACGATCTTTCAGCTACCAGCTGATTATTGACATATTATTGACTTCAGTGACATAAAAACATATGGTGGCCAGCACTAGCCATAGATAAATAAAGTTAAAAATACGCCTTTAAAAAGAATACATAAGGGATGGGCATGTAAAAAACTAATTTGAAAATATAAGCTAAAACGTAAATTGAAAAGACGCGTAAACAGTAGTAAACACCCATCCTTGATACCGTATCCTTTAGGATATCGACTTTTCAGCTCCATTCCTACGATAAGTGTCATATGTCATTTAATTTGATTTTTTGACTTGATCAAAAGTTTTCTTGATTCTTGGCGGGTAAATTTATTGTGCTGAAAAAATTGTTGTAACCTGTTTGATCTAGAAGTTTCATCTGTTGCTTTTTATTGAGATTTAAAAGTTCTTACGTTTTATATTTAAAAAGTGGTTATTTAATTATTTTTATTAAAAAAGAATTGTGTGTTACATCTTGATTTATATATTTAACCCCTATATCTGAATTTCCCGGAAAACAATGGCAAAAGTTCAGCTATGTAATATTACTGTTATGGATAATCCTAGTCCTTTTCTTAATCCATTTCAGTTCGAAATTACATTTGAATGCATTGAGGAACTTAAAGAAGGTATATTTTTTAACAATTTTTTTTTGATTACTTGAAAAGATCGTTTTAGATTTGGAGTGGAAAATGATTTATGTTGGATCTGCTGAATCTGAAGAATACGATCAAATTTTGGATTCGGTATTTGTTGGACCTATACCAGAGGGCAAGCACATGTTTGTTTTTCAAGTATGTTAGTTTTGTCATAGCTGTTACAAAGGTCTGCTAATTATGTATTTTATGTAGGCTGATCCACCAAATGTCTCAAGAATACCAGAAAATGATGCCTTAGGAGTTACAGTTGTATTACTAACATGTTCATACCGTGCTCAAGAATTTATACGAGTTGGTTACTTTATAAACAATGAGTATAATGATCCAGAGTTACGAGAAAATTTGCCAAGTCCACCTCAATTTGATAAAGTTACGAGAAATATTCTGGCATCTGAACCTAGAGTGACAAGGTTTAAAATTAACTGGGAGGAGCCTAATGCACAAGAAGTTGTGTCAAATTTAGAGAATACAGAAAATAGTTCGATTACGACTGAACAAAGTAATAATGCAACTCAATCCCAAATTCCTAGTTTTAATGATAATTCAAACTCATGGGCAACAATGGAATGTTCTTAATGTCAATTTTGTAGCCATCTAGTGTACATACTGTCTGATACCATTGTCATTTTTGGCAAATATTACTTTTCATATATTTGTACCTTGATTTGTACTAAGACTAATATTATTTTATGAGAAATTAGTATCATTTAAAAGAGGTTTTGATTTTTTGCTGTTTTTTTTTTATAAATGTATAGAAACAGGAATAAAATACTATTTATTGAAATATAGATATGCATAAATAGAATGGGCTGTTTACTGAGTATAGTGTAAAATTTCTACAATTTCTTATTTTTAATAAATTTCTAGCTAATATATTTAGGAAGTTTTTTTTTTTTTTGTTTTTTTAAAAATGAAAAATAATTTTAAAAAACATTTTTTGAATAAAACATTTACATGAATTTCTCTATCAATAAATTTTATAGACTTATATTTATGTTTTATACCTATAACTAGATCAAACCGTGTTCCCTGTTCCTGTAGATTACTTAAATACCTACAAATTTTCTAAAAAAAATAAAAATTAACACATTTTTTGAACACAACAAAATTAGAAAACGTCATTTTTATTATGTCACAAGCAAATAAAAATTAATATGTAGCCAAGAGTCAAAATTCAAGATTTCTCTGGGGGTAAGCAGCACCTGGGGGGGGGGGGGCACCCCGGCCTGTTGTTACTCCAATGAGTAGAAGTAAAGTTTCGTCGTTTCGTGATCAAACATGCTTTGATTTTGAGCGATAATAAGCTTTAAATTGTCATCTCAATAAAAACATGCTTTATTAAACATTTTTTCATCATACTGCATACCTATCTCTGTTCTATGAATCATAACTGCGGTCTTCATTCCCAAGCCTTCTCTGACGCCGATTTTTTCGATCATATAGTACTCTTCTCTACTTGTATCAAATAACAAGATACTGAACTAAAGCACAATTAAAATATTAAAACTCTAAAACAGATAGAAACAAAAAAAAAATAGTTATCAATAAATTATTTTTGTTTCTCTATGACCTAAACGCCGTTCTTTTTTTTCGATCATACGGTATAAAAACGAGTCTCTTATTTTGCCTTAAAAAAATTTTAACGGAAAAGAATCATCGATAAAAGCGTTAAATTTTAATTTTTCGAAAAAACCCAACGCCCGTTTTCTGGCTTTGAAATTCGTATTTACATAAGATCGAGAAAAAATCGACGTTAGAGTTAACTTGAATGTCATCGATCTACATTTCCCAGCCCACTTGACGCCGTTTATTGCAGAACATTTTTACAGAAGACTTTGAGAAAACATAAGAAGTGATAAAAACATATAAGCAGTTATATGACACTACTTGCTATTTTATTTATTCTTTTATACATGTTTTATACCTATAAATTTTTCTACATAAAAAAAATAAATGCTTCAATAAATTATCCAATTTTCCCTAGATATAAGGAGAAATCTTAATATGCGTCGTTGTAGTCGTTCAGACGAATTCAAATCTGTGATTCAAATACGCATCCCCTCCAAAGGTCCCCTCCTCTCCTACCCGATGCAAACTTTCGACCAGTGAACTTCTTTCGACTTTCCCCTCATTTTGACGCATTAGGAGTGGGGAGTAGGGGAAGTCGAAATCTTAAATTGCTTGCTTTACCCCGCCCACTAAAATGAGAAAAGTATTCAGTTTTCAGGTGTTATAATTCAATAATAAATAATAAAGTTTTAATTATTATTGGATAAGAAATCTAAAAAGGGCATTACTGTCTATAGGAGTATTTCTTATGACAAAGAAGAGAATGACTTTCTTATAGGTACCTTCCCAGATACATGAACAAACCTACAATGAGTTTTTTATGATTTGCGTATATGAGATAATATGCGACAGTCTTTTCTGGTATTTTTTTATTGTTGATTAATATTCGACATGTAATAGAAATGTTACATAAGCCTATTCTGTGATAGGTACTCTTTTTAGGAAAATAAAGATACGCGCGGTTATTGAGAGATTGTCGTATTTATTAATTTTGGCTTGTGTTTTTATCCTCCGTATTATTAAGATAATTACATCGATACCGTTTATATGACACAATGAAACATAATATTGAAATGGCGAATGCAATTCAATCGATTATTAAAATAATAAATTTCCACTTTCTCCTCGGTATTCACACCTTTGTCTTGGAAGCTACGTATGTACCAAAGGTACACAATCAATTTCGTTTACTTCCGGAAACACTAAAACATAAATGATTCTTAAATGATCTTAAATTAAGGATGAAAATTGCATAAAAGTGACAATAACCTAAAATTTATTATTTTTTTGTATATCATATGACGCTGCCAGCTGACCAATCAGATAGCGGCATTCCCTGCTTTTGCCAGAGTAAACCCCGTCCGTAACCCGTAATGTGAAATTTGTTAAAAGGTATGTAGAATTTTATCGTTTTAGCAGCGAAAGCGGTTTAGTCAGGAATCCCACGCTATTTATCCTTAAAAATAGCTCAAAAATAATTCATGATTTTTGAAATTAGGAATATAAAATCATGGCATATTTAGAGTGTGCTGATTTTTATGTCTCCTCACCTTGTAACCCTACTTATATATCGATTTTTTTTATGTGAAATAATAAATTACCTGTCAATCATTTTAAATTTTAATTTCTAATGATTTTTTAATTAATTAGAAGAGTAATTAATATGAAACAGCACTTTTACAGGGAGCTTTTCAGTTTTTGGCCTAGATTTTGCTCCCCACTCTTGTACTTTCATTGTTTCCCCCACCCCATACTTTATTTATTTCCCTAATTTTTTTTCAGTAGGCGTGAAAATTAATTCATGATACTTATTGGAAGTTATATAATGTTTAACAGTATTGCCAAAATATGTTCAATTGTAAAATGAACAAATTATGGGAATATCAAAATAGGGGAATTTTCAAGGTGATGGATCGGTCCATTTTTAGGTCAGGGTGGGGGAATGCTTTGATTGCCGATCGTAAGAACAAGGGACTAGAAAAAAGGAGCATCGTAAAATGTAAAAGATGGCGGCGCAATGATATCTTGTTGCAAATTTGCAAATCTTGTTTATAAACAAACGTGGTGACTTATTGATCTTTTTTATACGTGCATTTTTTTCCTAGAAGGTGACTAAACTTTAAGTGCTATATTTTAATGTGAAAATGGCGGATAAATAACAGAAAATCTTGTTATTCTGAGAGGTTATGTTTGGTCTTTACATTTTTGTTTCGTTTGTTTCAGGTGTAAACAGTGATTGGATATGCCAAATTGAATATAGTTTTTAGTTTGTTCATTAAAAGTGTTTTTCTTGGTTCTCGGTAGTGTGTTTTCACAAAAATCTACACCAAAATGGCTTTTTTACCGTTCATAAAATAATGTTTCCAACTTTCTTAAGAGTCTTTCATTTAAACAACGAAAAAATGGCTTTATTCGAGTTTGGTTAGTGATTATTTCACAAGAAACTTCAGAACAATGCGAAAAGTGAACAGAAGATAGTATTACATTCCAGGTGTATATATTTATAAAATGTACTTAATATAGGTGATATAACACTTTGAGACTGTTCAAGTGAAGTGAAAAATGTCTCAAATCCCCAATAAATCTCTACAGAAGATGTGTAAATCTCCAAAAAATTCAAATTTTCAAATTAAACAGGAGAAGATGGAATATGAAAATATGAGTACTAACTGTACAGTTGTTGGTTCCAATAATTTAAACTTGGTCAAGAAGCCTCAGTTAATGACCAGCATGTCACCAGCTTATTCAAATCCTAGTCCAAATTATCCTCATTCACCATATTCATCACCAGCAAATATGAAATCTCCCTCACCGAATCTAAAACCACCTACTCCTCAACCAAATTTTCCCGTGATGCAAATCATTCATAATAATTTAATTACACGACCAATACAGACTTCGCAAGCTCAGAACATCATTAAATTGAAACCTCATTTAAATATTTTACCAAAACCAAGTGCAAGCCCCCAGGCTTCGCCTAAACCGAGTGTTAGGTAAGTTTGTAAATTAATTTGTTGTCATTTAGAACTATTGAAGTAATTATGTTAATTTTAGCCCGCAAATTGTAATACCCGCTTCAAATCATCAAACAAATGCTGCCACAGCAACACTTATGCCAACAGCTCAACCACTTCTCCTTAATCAAATGCCCATGTTAACAACTCCTGGAGTACAATTTATTTTACGGCCACAAACAGCCACTCCTATGACAGCAACTGGACCAAAAATTCAGGTCAGAATTTGTTGATGTTGATTATTACTGTTCTATTTATGTAATATATGTAATAACTATATATGATGTATCTACATTATATTTTCTTAGACTGCTACCCAGGGACCTCAGGGTTTAATTCTTCAACCTGCGGGAACAACACAGCAGTTATTACAGTTAGGTGCTCCAGCGAGATCACAACCAATGGTCAGAGTTTTAACGAACGGTGTCCAGTTGGCTCCTTCATCTACAACCTATGTTACTACTCAGGTAAGTTATAATTATGTTGAGGAATGTAGTATGTATTAACATCTTTTTTTTTTCTAGATGACTAATCAGCCTATTAATGCTACTCAAATACAACAGACCCTTGTTAATAACACGCAACAACAGCAACAGATACAAGTTCAACAGCAGATACAGCACATGTCAATTAAAAAGAAACCAAAAGTGAAGGTTAAGAAAAAACTGGATTTGGCAAATATTATGAAGTTATCAGGTAGGAACGTTCTGGATTATGTAAATTATGAAATTTTTAAATTTATATGAATTTCTGTTTTCTGCATATCTAATATAATAACTACTGAGTAACTACTTCCCATTATGTTGGAACAGAATTAACCCTCAACTGGTGTGGTGAATTTTTGTAACGCTTATGGCGTGCTGGGGTCCGACGGACCCCAATTTTTTTTCAGTTTAAAAAATACATGATGGAGAGATTTTATAAAAAGCTTGTGATTTTAACACTGTTTACAATATATTCAAACTTGTGAACAAACAATTTCATTAATTTTCAACAAATTAATAAGAACGGACACAAAAATAAAGTAAAACGCATTTTTTAGGAATTTTTGACAACAGAAATATAACTTGGCTAAGAAACCCATAGAAATTAAAAACAATGATATTTTATGATTTTACCGGATTACTAAAAGTACAAACAACTGAAATGTGAAGCTAAAGTAATAAACATAAATTATTTTCAACAAAACTGCAAACCTTGAATGTACATAACTTTTTCAAATATAGTTCATGCTAATATAGGATCTGCATTTGCCGCACATGGATCGTGCACATTTGATTCATGAGATTTTTGTTTTTTTGTCATTTCTTCATTGACATATGGTTGCCATATACCACATCTCTTTCTTTTCTGGTATTGATTGTTCAATTTTCTCTCTTCTATAAGTAAGAGATTCAGAATCGGAGTTATGGTTACTCTTCGGAGAAAAATCAATGTCTCGAAATCACTCAATTAATGCTTCCTCAAAATTAGCGTCCCAGTGAGGCACACTTTTTAGACTACCCACTATCCTAATAATGAAACATTCTTGGCGTAGTGGTGCCACACAGACCCCAATGAAACTTTAGCCCCCGCTGGTAGGAACAATACTTGATAAAATCCAGTGCGCCTTTATCAGTTGCATATTTGTACCCTAACTTAATGGTAAATGGCGCGGCGAGGCCTAATTCTTAAACATAAACATTTTTACGGAGGGTCCGCTGGACCCCACCACGCCAGTTGAGGGTTAATCAAATCCATAAAAATGGTATTCTTTTAAGTCAAAATAAAATGGTATACAATTAACAACAGGATTTAATTCAAATTAAGTATTTTTTTGGCAAATAAAAATTTTGGTAATTATTGGGAAAACTGGAAATCGTCCGATTTTCACCAAAATTGGTAATACACCCTATTTTGAGGTCATAGATTACGAATCTAAACGGAAAATAATTTCAACATTGAATTTTTCTTTATTTCGGCCCTTATAAAGTAGTAATTTCACTATATTTTCATTATATTATAGTTTATCTCAGAGCCACACTTGATTGAGGATAGGAAAATGTCCAAAATTTTACTGAAAAACACTTTTCTTAACAAAATAACAAGGAACATTGAGACCAGATGGAAGTTTGACATTTTATATCTCCTTCTTTCTCTCTCCTATGTAATGAGAGAGACAAATATATTCTAGACCACTTGTGTCTAGCCCCAGCAGGCAACTATTAAGCCCGACCAGTCACGTTAGAGATATTGACAAACACAAATGAATTAACACCCTCCAAATAACCACGCTAACCAACCTGATTGGTCAAGCTTCAAAGTCACGCGGAAGAGTTTTGATTGCATTGGTTACAACTTTCATTCCGAGGGTGTTAATCTTTTGTTGTTATATTATATTAAAAAAAGATTAACCCCCTGCGCAAAGAAGTTATATAAAGACTATTTATAACACCGAAGTTGCACAAAAGAGTTTTGATTGCATTGGTTTCAACTTCTTTGCGGAGGGGGTTAATCTTTTTTTGATATAACTAACACCCACCGCATGGAAGTTGTGAAGGAATGCAATCAAAACTCTTTCGTACAACTTCGGGGTTATAAATAGTCAGATCTCGTTGGTAAAATAGCAGTTATGGGAAGGAACCGTTCTTCTGGCGACGGCCTTTCGTAATCTCAGAATGAGCGAAAAAAACAGGCTAAATTTAGGTTTAGCATTGGCAACGTTGCTTTAAATGCCACAAACACATAACCCAACATTTTCAGATTGTTTACTAATTTATTTTAGCAAATTTTCCTCTATTATTCATAGCATTGGTTAAAAAAAGTAACAGAAAATAGCAAAAACATCATTGTTTATTGAATACCTAACAAAATATGTGCTAGAAAACCTTAAAAATATGAGAAATTAAGAAAAATTCGGTGTTGAAATAATTTTTCATTTTTCTGAAAAACGGTAAGAGACCGCCCGAAAAAAGTTCAGATTCGTAAACCTCAGAATAGCGTGTATACCAATTTTGGTGAAAATCGGACGATTTCCAGTTTTCCCAAGAATTACCAAAATTTTAAAATAAATTCTTTAAATTCTGCTAAAATGTTAACTAAAAATTAGTCATTTGAAGACCAAAAGTTGAAGTTTAAGGCAAATTATACCGGGGGGGACATCGGAACGCGGGACGTTGGAAATCCCATGGAAATTTTCAAAAGATCAAATATCTCCCCAGATGATTTTATGCAAAAATTGTATTAGACTTTTTTGAAGAGTTTTGGCGTTAAAGTTCTACTTTTGTAGAGAATTTCGTTTCATTTGGAATAGGCATCTAAAAGTTATTTGCAAAAATCTACCTTCAAATTACTAAAAATTTATAATACGGCCCAGAGAAAGCTACAATTAAAATACCAGCAAAGATATGATTTTGTCATTGTCAAATTGCCGAGTTCTTGCAAAAGCTGAAATAAAAAATGCAGGTCCGTATTTAAAAAAATTAAGTTAGCCTCTGTATCTCACAAATTATCAGCTAATTTGAAAATATAAAAGTACTATCAGATAGCCATAATAACGTGGCTATGAGAATGTGCAATTCGTTTTTTGATTTCCTAAAAAGTAACGACAGAAAAAATAAAATTGATTTTCAAAAAATCCGTTTTTTTAAAAAACTCAGTCAACTTAGTCAAAAGCAATCCTTGAAATTTTTAAAACTTTTTTGATGGCATCTTGGTGCACATCCCAAAGCGCAACTTTTCCCCAATTTAACCATGTTCATATCTATTACGGTTACCAAGATACCAATGCTCGTACCTAGAATTTGTAGCACCCTGTATATAACAAACGTGTATATACTGGGTGGTCCGATCTGTATTCCGGAAACTTCGGCAGCATATTCTGCAGATAAAAATAAGTAAAAAATTTTGTATAAATGTATGTCCTAAAATGCTTAGTTTCGGAGATACAGGGTGTAGAAGTTTCGTTTTCATTTCAATTTTTTTCAAATAATTTCTGAAGTAACGTCAATATTTGGATGAAAATTGATGTCTGGAAGTTTTTTGACATGAGAAATTTGATTTTGATGTCAATATGACTCCTACTTGTAGATGGCGCGACTTACATGTGTTTTAACTGTTTTGAAGTGTAATAACTTTTTGTCCATACCGGTATAAAAGTACTGAGTAAAAAATATACATTCCCGTGATTTTTGTACGTAATTAAAAATCGCTACTTGCAACCGTTCTCGAGATATTTAGAATAGAAATAGTCAATACATGTTATTATTGACAAAAAATAAACATGTTGAATAGATAGTTATTTAACTGTAAATTTGAGAACTTTTTATTTTTTTAAATTAATCATACATTTTTCTTCGAAAAAATGATAAAACAGTTTCTGTTCAACTTTTGGCACAAAAACATTTCAAATTTATGATTTCAGTCTAATATCTATTTAATCAACATGTTTAATTTATGTCAATGATGACAGGTATTAATAATTTCGGTTCCAAATATCTCGAGAGTCATTACTCGTAGCGATTTTTACCAGACATTTTTTACGCAAAAATGTCATAAAGTTTTCACTTCTTAATTTGGTTTTAAAACTTTCGTAATGATATAAATTGTACAGTAAAAAGTATGGAACTGATACGGAACGGAAGCTTACGTATAGCGTCAATACAATAAAAATATGGAACGGATATGGAATGGAAACGGAAGGTATAGTGAGAATCAACCTTAAACAGTCCATCGCGGTCGCGATTATTTTGTTGATATGCCGCTTTCTTAGTCTTTTTTAATAAATAAATAAGTTGTTGTAGCATTCTCTGTATGACATCGCCAATAAAGCATTCAACATGAAAACTCTTTTTGATTAGATGATAGAAATGCCATTGTTTTTGATAACGACACTGAACCTTAAAGTCTAAGACATTGATCTAATAAGGTGTTCTATTTAGGTATCGGTGATGAAGATGATATTCAGTTTGAAAGTGATACATCTCTGAGTGAAAGTGAGCATAATTCAGTACCTACAATTCCACAGGGACATCCTGTACAAACCAGCGGTTTACAAGCACAAGCCAGTTTTCTACATAGCGATGCTAAAAAGAATATTCAAAATATTCAGATCTCAGCCATGGCACAACCTGCACTTAACGCTGCAGCGCCAGTTGTTCAGGTACAAGTTATGTTTTATGCTACAAAAATTTACTATAGTGTTTACTAACTTTGTACAATGTACAATTAACTATTATTAGGTAAAATAATATATTAAGTTTTCTTACCTATTCCTGATTATAGGTACTGAATCAAAATTTTCAAAGTGGAATGATCTCAAATAGTACATCCCAGGCGAGCACTGCTCAAGCTGGTATTCCGTTCAATTCGTTTATAGCACCAAATTTTACTATTAATAATGGCTTGATGTTACAAAGAAGTGGAGGGTTTAAACTTACAGTAGGCGAAGATGGACGTTTAGTACTTCAACATGACCCTACTCCAAATCAAGTAAATAGGAATGAAATAAATAAACGTTCTGTTTTAATATAATTATTTTTAAGGACCTTCAAAGTCAATTAATATTACAAAGCATACTTGGATTAAATGGTGGTCTTGTTTTACAACCTTCCATGGATCAGCAAACAGTCCAACAAACTGTGCAAACTATTCAACAACAGTCGGTACAGACTATACAGCAACAAACTGTGCAGTCACAAACAATACAGACAGTTCAACAACAAACTGTGCAACCTCAAGTACAACACTCAATTCAAGTAAGTCTTAAGATAATTTAATTAAGGATGTGTTTAAGTAAGATTATTTTAGTCGTTGCAACCTCAAATACAACAACAGACTGTTCAACAAACAATACAACATCAGACAGTTAATGCTTTGCAACAGCCAATGCAGATAGTACAACCCCAACCTATACATAGTATACATTCTCAGGTGCAATTTTTGAATCCATTTTCTCTTTACCTTGTATTTAACATCTTTATTTTAGGTACAGCCGACAGTTCATAGTATATCTCAATCTCAGGTTCACAATCTTCAATCACAGATTCAAAGTCTTTTACAGCAGCAAAATGTGGCAGTACAGGCACAAGCTGTGCATCAAAATGTACCCCAAAATGTTCATTCACAGGTGAAGTTAGATTTAATCGTTTTTTAATATTAATAATAATTTTAATAATATATTCTAGACTATTCAGAGTGTTCAGAATTTAACGCAAAATGTTCAGAATTTGGCCCAAAATTCTGTTCAAAATGTAGTTACGCAAAGTATGCAGAACCATGCGCAAAGTTCAATGCAGAATATGGTCGCTCAAAATGTACAAAATTTGACACAAAGTGCAGTACAAAATGTTGTGGCTCAGAACTTAGGTTCTCAGAATGTTGTTGCTCAGAATATGTCACATAATACATCAGTGCAAAATGTTGTAGCACAAAATCTGACTCAGGTAAATATTTTAACTTTATGTTAGTTACCAGGTTAAATGAGTATTTTCTAGGCGGTGCATAGTATTCCAAATTTACAAACTGTCCAAGCTCAACCAGTGCAGTCTCCTATACATACTGTTCAAGGATTTCAGCAGGCTCATACCCAAACACAGCCAATACTTAAAGTAAGGGATTTTAAATGAATGCCAATTATGTTGTTATACTTCAATATTAATACACGGATTATAGAGATGCTAGATGCTAAAAAAACATTTATTTTTAGGTCCAGCCATTCCAAAAGAGTCAACCGCCCGTTCAGACAGTTCAGCCAATCCAGCATCAATCTCAACAACACAATTTACAAGAAAATAATAATCAGCAAAATAATCCTACATCATATGTTGTTAATTTAACACCTGATCAGTTGGAACAGCTTAAAAGGTTTGTTTATTCATATATTCTTTTATACATATCTGTCATATATACCGGGCGCGTCTCAAAAGTGACTCACCCCTATAACTTTTTTATTTTTTTAGGTAAAAAAAACGAAATTTGGTATGTTAGTATATGACATAAATTAGGATTGATTGACGTATTCAATTGTTTTCAGTCACTTCCTGTTTCACAGGAAATTACTACAATTTTTGATTTTTAAATGGCATCCTCGGTATTTTTTTTACTTTATTCAGAAAATAACACTCTGAATTGAATGACATATCATATGTCAACTGTTGACATTTTTGTATATGGTTTATTTGAAATTATAACTTCCGGTTCGTAACGAAAATTTGACTCGAAATACCAAGTGTTTGGTATCAAATTATTTGTAAAAAAATGTTTTTTCCAAATATGCTAATGAGCCACCCTCGTTCCATTTGAAAAAATTGAGATATGATTGAAAATACGATTTGAACGTTTTCTAACTGGCCAGGAGGACACTAAAAACATTATTATTTGGAAAAATTGGTTTGATCGTCACCTATTTTTCCAAGACTTCTTGATTAAGAATTAGCTTTTTTAATATAGCCATGACACTCTAGATTGAATTTTAAAATACATTTTTTTAAAGCGAGAATGTCAAAAGTTGACATATGATATGTCATTCTATTCACAATGTCATTTTCTATCAAATAAAGTAAAAAATACCGAGGGTGTCATTTAAAAATCAAAAGTTGTAATCATTTTGGTGAAACAGGAAGTGACCAAAAACAATTGGATATGTCATTATTCAATCCTATGTCATATACTAACATACCAAATCTCGTTTTGGTATCTGAAAAAATAAAAAAGTTATAGGGGTAAGCCACTTTTGAGACGCACTCGGTATGTCAATTAATACAGTGACAGTTGTCTGTTATTATAGTTTAAAGGTTTTGAGTAAAGCCCTGTTTTCAGAACTGCGCTGTGACTTCAAAGAACCAAATAAAATATAAAAGTACACAAAAATGTGTGCTAAATTCAAATTTGACATCTGTGTTTTGTTCAAATATCATTGGTTCTTTGAAGTGTCACTCAGTGCCGCCAGACGGCAAGGCCATAATCCATAAACTGCCATCAGCGAGCGCAACTCTACATATTTTCATGTTATAGATATTAATTACTATACATATTTAATTATAATTAAACACATTTTACTGTTTTAGGAACGGACAGTTAACTGTTAACGGTCAAACCATATTTATGCAAAGGCCTAATAAAGACCAAAGTGAGAAAAAGCCGAGTCCTAAAACCAAAACAATAAAAAAGGTGGCAGAGGTATTTAATTATTTTTATTGTGTAAATTTGATATTACTTTAAAAACTGATTGTTTTAGACGCATAAGATCCAAAGCGCGAAATCCCTCTTGCAAGATAATTCTCCTGAAGCAAATGATAGAAAAGTGTCAAATATAATTCATGGAGAAATGAAATCTCCTCTGTCTCAAAACGTGAAACCATTGTGTAGTGCCGTGGGTAATCATTCTGTAAAGAATATTTTGCCCCATAATCATGTGCAACCTATGCAGAATAAATCTCTTCAGCCGCAAGCTATGGTTCAACCGTCTATTCAGACACAAATTAAACATGTAAGTATAGTGTGTACTGTTACATTCTTACTGGGTTCCTTATGGATAATTTAAAGTCTTATCTAATTAAATTTATTTACATTAGGTTTGTTCCAACCAGCATTTCGGGATCGTTTCGAAATTGTACTCGAATCGGTTTTCTTGCACTTTGTTAGCATGCGCGGACTGCGAATAGTTTCGTGACGGTGCAAAAAGTATCAACGTTGGAACGCTTTGCGGATTGTTTTCGGAACTGTCAAAAGTGTCAAGCGTGCGTGTTTTTTGTTTTTGTTTGAGGAAACAAGAAAATACGATTAAAGCTTACCTAAATATTGTTCATTTTTAACCCTTTCACTAGGCAGCAACTCCAAATTGTCACTATTTGAAGTGGAGGTAAAGAAATCAGTCATACCATCGTCACTCATCCTTAATTATTATATGAAAGTGTACAATTTAAAATTTCCGAACGATTTACTCCACACAAACTCACAAGTAAAAGTATAACGCACACTTAATTAACACTTAATAACGCACTTTAATTCGTAAAAATAACCAAGTCAGAAGCATCAACTGGACGCCGGACCAGAATCAGCTGTTAAAACTCGATAATCCCTGCCAATATGCTTTAATGCGCAAGTTAACCCAAACAGGTCTCAATTTGGACCATGTACCGAAATTACCGTTCTGAAATCGTAACTAAACGATCCAAAGGTAGGTTGGTACGCAAATAGGATCGTCTGATAACCGTCAAATATCGGTTGGAACACATTTGAATTACTGCGCACGAGCGTGATAGTTCGGTAATGGTTCTGCGGCGGGTTGGAACAAACCTATTAAAGAATTGAAAAACTATATAATACTTATTACTATTTAATAAACTTATTTACACGACACGATTATAATTCAATACATTTTAGTTAGTAATAGTTAATACAAGTTGATCTTTTTAGGAGAAACAAAAAAGTCCAATATCTGCACCCAAGCAACAAAAAGTTAGTCCTATAATTCAGTCAGTTCAAGATTCAAATGGTGCAAATACTAGTCATGATGTTGATAAGTTGTTAGGTCAAATATTGGAAGAATCTAATCCCCAAATCTGTGTCTCTGGTAATAATTTACTAGACAGGCAGCCACAACAAGTAATAATGTACAAAAAATATATTTTTTATTTAACTCAAGCTTATGTATATTTCAGAGAATAACAACAATTCAGCTTACACCACAGAAACAACAACATTTGAAAACCATACAATTACAGATAAAATCTTTGTCGGCTAGGGCACAACCAGGCGATACAGAGGTTCACAATGCTCTAAAAGCTCTATTTGCTGAACAACAAAAAATTTTAGCCTCTGGAAAATTGTTGCCTCCTGACAAAGTATTTTTTTTATAAATATGTTATATTATATAACTAAATATATATTTTTAGGTTTATTATCATAATAATCAATTAACGATTGTAAATCCGTCCAGTTTAAATCTGCCGTCGCCCGGCTCTGTTAAAAGCGAACCGGCTAGTCCTGGTTTAATTAATAACCAAAATCCTAGCCGCGCCACAAGCGTTGAAACATCTAGCTCACAACAGGTTGGTATATAAACTCTCTGAATTTATGAACAATTTATTCTGAAACTATTTTTTATATATTACAGCCTAGTACAACGCAAGCGCATTCTACACCTCGTGTATCTGTGTCGGTTTCAACTTCTACAGGTGATTTGGCTGCTCATTCAACAATACATCATGCAGTACATCACCCGTCAACGCAAAACATTCATCAGCCACGTATGCCAAATAGCAGCCATCAAAATGCATCAAGTCACACCAATCATATTATTAGTCAAAGGTTGAATTCTATTGGCCAGGTAAGAATTTATTTTAAATAGATATTTATTTTGTATTGTATGTCCTATTGCCACAGAACTACCTAACAATACAGAAGCTACACGTGCGTTTTATTCGTCGACTAACTTAAGTGAGTTCATTTTTCATAATTTTCTATAATTTGGCAAGACTTTGACAAGACTCAAAAATCTAAAGGCGAGTTCATACGCATCGGTATCCGTTTGTCGTTCTTCGTTCCGTCAAACCAATAAAATTGAAATATGATCTGTCATTTTTGAAATAAACCAATAAAATTGGTTAAAAACAAGAGAACGCGTGACGGATTTATATTTAAACCCATCCATAGTTAACTTAAAAAATATTAGAAACTTTTTTTTAGTAAAATAAATAGATTGGTATGGACGTCATCTGCTTTTCTTCTGTCATCGTCTGTCGAAATCTTACTTGAGAAAAAAAAAAACAGAGTATAAAAGCAGAGAAGAACAATCGTAGAGAAGCGACAAAAACCTATGACAAAAACCGTCGGCACTATTGAAGTAGGGGGGATCAAGTTTTGTGACGTTCAAATTGGCGTACGTGACAGATCGCATGTTTATAGTAGTTTATAGCTACACTGAGAGAAATTCAATGAAGGTTAGGTTAAAAAGTATATTAGATATATTTAGGAATCATAGTGAACAGTAACTATCTTTTAAGATTTAACGTGTTTCCGCGAATTGTGGATTTACCGCGTTCTAACCATTTTCTAACCTATTCCTTTTAGAGGGACATTTTTAATCAAAATGATAAATTAAAGAATTTTATGAAAAATTCGATTATTTACCTACAGCAAGCAGAAATATTCTTTTCGCCCAAATTTAATTAGGAATGTTATAAAACTTAACTTATAAATAAATTTTTCTTGTTTAGAATAGGCAACATTAATTAGAACTTCCCGTTTAATCTCAAATGATAGTTTAGGTTTTAGTTTTACCTTTTTTTATCTTAAAAAGAACTTTTCAAAATTAGTACCTACTTAGTAACGATTTAGTTAGTTCGCAATCGATAGCTTCCTGTGAAGTACTGTGTAATAGTTGTTTAATCTTGTATTATTAATAACTTCCTATACCTAAAATTAATATTTAATGAGAAAATTGTGTTTTTTTTTGAAAATATAAGACAATATTTGACTTTCGGTCTTCTTCTTGTATTATGATGGCTCTGATATGAGGCAATTGCCTTTTAGTCTCGCAATAGAAGGCATTTATCATTAAAAGTATAAAATCTGTGTGCTACAGTATGGAATTTCTGCATAATAATGAATACCTATTACGTTTATTTACAAATCCATTACTTTTAAAGGTAGCTTCATCAGATAATCAAATTTTAGTTAAATGTCCTAATTTTCATGAACTGTATTAAGCATATGTATTGCGGTTTGAATCACCCTGTATGTTGACAAAAATATTTTGAAAATGTGCGTTACAATGGCCCCATCTTATGTAAAAAATTGAAATAAAAATCACAAACCCAAAACGTAATAGGTAAAAAGCTTTTTTGGATGCCTGGGTCACTCTCTATATAGATATGTATAAAACTAGTAGCCTAAGAATTATTTACAGTTCGTCCCATTCTAAAAAAAGTTAAACACACCGTACAAATAACTCTAGGAAGATGTATTTGTACGGTGGTAAAAAATTGTCTAAACAAGGCCGAAGGGGCGGATATAATAGAGCAATAAAATGTAAAAAAGGACAGGTAAACACCTATGTTTATTTATTGAGCAAAATTCCTTTAGAATAACGTATATAATGACCAAAATAGGACGCAATTTTAAGAAAAAAATGTCTTTTCACAGGTAGGTACAAATTTCCGCCGCAATTGTACATAGACGTCCTACAAGGGAGCCCCTTACAATTAAAATAATTTCTAATTATATTTGTTGAATTTTGATCTATTAAAACAAGAACGTAGTAGCCGGTAATTGAATTATAATTCGTCTCAATTGGTACCTAACTGTTGTAGATAATAACAAATTTGAATATAAACGTTGCATTTGAAACTTTATTATAAGCCAGAAAGTGACATTTTTTTTCTTAAAATTGCGTCATATTTTGGTCATTATATACGATATTCTAAAGGAATTTTGCTCAACAAATAAACAAAGGTGTTTACCCGACCTTTTTTACATTTTACTGCTTTATTATATCTGCCCCTTCGGCCTTGTTTAGACAATTTTTTACCACCGTACAAATACCTCTTCCTAGAGTTATTTGTACAGTGTGTTTACCTTTTTTTTGGAATGGGACGAACTGTAAATAATTTTTAGGCTACTAGTTTTATACATACCTATATACAGAGTGACCCAGGCCTCCAAAAAGTTTTTTACCTATTACGTTTTTGGTTTGTGATTTTTATTTCAATTTTTTACATAAGGTGGGGGCCATTGTAACGCACATTTTCAAAATATTTTTGTCAACATACAGGGTGATTCAAACCGCAATACATATGCTTAATACAGTTCATGAAGATTGAGACATTTAACTAAAATTTGATTGTCTGATGAAGCTACCTTTAAAAGTAATGGCTTTGTAAAAAAACGTAATATTCATTATTATGCGACAGAAATCCCATACTGTAGCACACAGACTTGATACTTTTAATGATAAATGCCTTCTATTGAGAGACTAAAAGGTAATTGCCTCGTATCAGAGCCATCATAATACAAGAAGTAGACCGAAAGTCAAATCTTGTCTTATATTTTCAAAAAAAACACAATTTTCTCATTAAATATTGATTTTAGGTATAGGAAGTTATTAATAATACAAGATTAAACAACTATTACACATTACAGGAAGCTATCAATTGCGAACTAACTAAATCGTTACTAATTACTAATTTTGAAAAGTTCTTTTTAAGATCAAAAAGGTAAAACTAAAACCGAAACTATCATTTGAGATTAAACGGGAAGTTCTAAATAATGTTGCCTATTCTAAACAAGAAAAATTTATTTATAAGTTTTATATATATACTCCATCAGGGTTGTCGCAACTAACGTCGCATCCCCACGCCTAACCGCCCCCTGTTACGATCAAGAACATCTTGCTCTTCCAAGTTACGGTCCTCCATTACTTTTATAAGTTTTAGAACATCTCTAATTAAATTTGGACGAAAAGAATATTTCTGTTTGCTGTAGGTAATTTTCTCAGGGAAAATACGTAAATAAAAATTACTTTTTAAGTCAAAAGAAGTTATTCCAAAAAAGGACTGTCCTTTTCAAAAAAGGACAGGTGGCAACCCTAGGTATTTCTGGAATGGAAATTTAATGGCAAATCTACAACTTTAGTTTGAAAATATGTTCCGGCTGTTTCGTACTTTACTAATGGATAAGCCTCAGTAAGACGATATTTATTAATTAAACATAGAGAGATAATTACATGACTTTATATGTCAAATACAACTAAACAACTAACTGTTATGACTACGCTTAGCCAACTATTTAATTATAATAATATCTATTACTAAGGTAATCTATATTATACAACACCGGCCACCTATGTTTACAAAAATGTCTAAAATGTGCTTTATGTATTTATAATGTGCTTATCATTGCCTCCATATTCTGAAACAAAAATTGAAAGAAAAGTCACCAACCACAAACCTAATATAGAACTGTTTCAGAAACTTGAGTCACCCTGTAAATATTCAAAAGTAACTGAAAGTTTATATAGAAGTAACTGAAAGTTTAAATTGAAAATCGACGCTGGAACGATTTTCGAAAACTACCTACTAGCGTTTCAACATAAGTATATATGGGATATTAATTATATTATTATATTAGACCTTATAACAAAACTCATCTGACGAAAAAGTGTTAATGTAGTATATTAATATGGAGTAAAAAGTTTACTAATTACTTTACTTTTACTTTACTAATTAAATTCCTTCCAAAAAACGATACGCCACTGGCCTTTAGAACAATCCAAATGCGCCTAGTTGCCGGGGTCGGAAATTTTAGACTTCGCTGTCTCTTCTGTCCTTGTTTGACACATTGGAATGTTTGATACACTTCCAACGAGTATTTATGAATGAGATGTTCGGTCTATCTTTATAATGTCTTTGCTTATAATAAAGTTTCAAATGTAACGTTTATATATTTAAATTTGTTATGATCTACAACAGTTAGGTAGTAATTGAGACAAATTATAATTCAATTACCGGCTACTACGTTCTTGTTTTAGTAGATCAAAATTCAACAAATATAATTAGTAATTATTTTAATTGTGAGAGGCTCCCTTGTGGGACGCCTATGTACGATTACGGCGCGGCGAAAACGATACCTACCTGTGGAAAGCCAAATTCGGGTAATTTGAGCTTATTTGTCCACACATTTGACACTGTCGTACCATATTGAAAATTCGCAGATTCAAAAGTACATTAAACAAAAACAAAAACTACTGAAATACGCTGAAAAGTTCCCTTTGGACTTGATTCCGACTTCAAACACACCGTAAGCTAAACGTAGTACGCTATAACGGACCATGGGCCGTCGCGAGGGGTGGTGGGACGGACGGCTCACTTCATTCTGGAAGACTAGCAGCGACGTTGCCAATAGTTCTAGACGTTTCAGCACATTAAACAGTAAACATGTCCTTTAATAGTAACGCATATATTCTCCGGTTAATAACATATTATTACGCATGCTTCTTTAAAAATAAACTATTAATTTAATTAAGAAATTGAGATTTATTGATATCCGGGGAAGGTTTTAAAGTAACCTTTTCTGCAAATCAAACTAAGTAGATAGGCGCAAATTTGATATGTGGCAATGTCGCCTTCTCTATCTCAGTTGGTTTTTACAGTACGTAGTCAACCTCCGAATGTTTGATCGGGTTAAAATGCATAATGTGATATCTGTTCTTCCTAAATCTATGATTAAAACTAAAATGATTAAAAAACATAATATCTTTATAATATGAGAACATAGATGGTAGATTAAATTTACAAGAAAGAAAACACAGAAAATATTCAGCGGTTCTGA